GGGCAAGGGTCCAAGGAGGAGGTGGTGGCTTGACAGCGGTCAAGCACTCTGCCCACAGAATCAGGCGTGACAGGCTGAAAGGAGTCAAGGGTTACCGGGCAAGACGGAGCACTGGACATCTCTGCTCGACTCACTGTGTTCAAAAAAGGAGAGAGGTCCCGTTGGATGGCCTCCACTTTAGATTTTAAAAAGGCTGCAAACTGGTCAGATGTAAAACTAGGGGGAGGCCTATCATCCAGAACAGTTCCGGATAGGTCGCGTACTATACGGAATAACTCCGCTTGCTGGTTGGACGTTTCGCTTATCCAGTTAGCAATGTAAGTTCGACAAGCAGCCTTTACCTTAGACAGGTAAAGGTTAGTTATGACCCTGACAGCTATCCTATTATAATCCGTCAGGTTCTTCCTCCACCTACGCTCTAGCCTTCTCCTATGTCGATTCAGCGCTCAAAGCTCCTGGTTAAACCAGGGCGCTGGCCAAGCTCTATGACGGAGAGGGCGCTTAGGCGTGATCGTGTCTATAGCCCTGGTTGCGAAGGTAGACTAGCTATCAACCAGAGCAAATTAAGTTTGCAAAGGTTTTACAAGGTGCACTAACGATCCCAAGCATTTAAAATTCTTTTTGAACATTTTAAGACACACTTAAACTAGCGAAAACGGACATCGCTAAGAAAAACAGGGGGACCTAAACTGTCATCACTAAGCGAGGCAAGGTCCCGAACATCGCTATGCAAAATTTCCCCCTAGGGAACATCGCTAAATGGAGGGCAAAATTGCTCCAAAAACCTCATCACTAAGCGAATACATCGTTAAACGAGGCAGTCGCTAAGCGAGGCACCACTGTATAGGTAACTACTTTGCATATTGAATGTTCCTCTAGATTTTTTTAAAAAAGATCCATGAACATAGATTTCTGGAGGAAGGTTATATTTAGAATCCTTTTCTCTGACATGCTCACTTTCTATGTGGCATTGAAAGCGTAATGACATGATTTCCTCTACTATTAAGTAGCAGCTTCCAGTTTTGTGGCATGATTTTCTGTTTTATAGACCAGTTCTATGTCATGTCAAATAAGTAAACATAGACATTTAGCCTAGGCATAATTCTATGGAGAATTAAAATAAGAGTTACCTAAGAAAACTGCTGAAAAAGATTGATGGACAACAGAAATGAAAAAGAATAATAAATGGGGGGGGGAGGGACCAATCACCAAGGCCAAGGACAAAAAAAGAAGCTAGAATGTATAGGCGTGATGTCAAGAAATATGAAGTTTAGAATGAGCTGAAGCCAGTGATGGCTTTAAGAGCAATAAAAAGGGCTTTTTCAGCATGGAGGAAGGAAAAGGTAATCTTTTGCTCAGTAAGGATGGTGAAATGTTAACAGGTAACAAAGAGAATGTATAATATTAAATGCCTATACTGTATTGTTTTTGTTTTCTCCTAAAATTGGAACTGAGTGCACCCCCATGTTATTAGCATGACTGGTGAAGGGACAGGAGTTCAGTTCAGGTTTGATAAGGAAGTGGTCAGAAAATACACAGCTGTCTTAAGTGAGGGTTTTTGCAATTTTTTGAGCCAGCTAAACTAAAACACTAGGGTGTTAAAGAAAGCTTTGGGTGTACTTTCACAATCTAATATCTCAGAAATCCTGTGAAATAGGTGAGATTGTCTTGGAGACTGACAAAGGCTGAAGGGAGGACTTGGAATGCGACTCCAAATTTAAAAAAAACCATATTGATAAATTGGAACAGGTTCAGAGAAACACAGTTAAGATGATATGGATTGGTGGTATGGAAACCAAATCTTGGGAGCAAAGTTTGAAGGAACTCAGTATGCTTAGCTGAGGGGAAAAAAAGAAGCCACCCAACAGTTTATTAAATATATGTCTTTCCAATAATGTCTTTTTTTAAAAAAAAATTGACTTTCAGGAGAACACAGTGGTGGACTTTGGGTCCAGCAGTTGTGGAAAACAAGTAGAGGGAACATGATAGCTCATGATAGCTTCCCAAGTATCTGAAAGGCTGCAACATAGGAGAAGATCAAAATGTCTCATGTTCTGCCTCAGAAGACAGGGCTACATCTAATAGATTTAACTGATAGGTGAATAAATTTCTTGACTTTTTGACAGTAAATGCATTTGAACAATGAAACTAAAAGTGGTACCTCGCTTGACGAGGATAATCCGCTGTAGAATGAAATCATCCTCAAGTGAAAATAAAAAGCCCATTGAAATGCTTTGAAAACCGCTCCAATGGGCGAAATACCTCAGCGTCCAGCGAAGATCCTCCATAGGGCGGCCATTTTCCGGTGCCTGTAATGCGAGGAATCCATCCTAAAACACAGCGGGGAGCCATTTTGCACAGCGGGTGGCCATTTTGAAAACCTGATGATCAGCTGTTTTGATCGTCGTTAAGTGAAAAATCGGTTCCAGAAGTAGGGAACCGATCATCGTGAAATGAAAAAAAAACAATCAATCATCATTTTGCAATCGCAATAGCGATCACAAAAAAACTAGGCAAGCAATTTCCTCATCTAACGAGGTAATCGTCAAGCAGGGCACCACTGTACCATGTTTTCCCGTGTATAAGACACCCCCACTTTTCTAACCCAAAATTTCTTTCATTGCAAGAAAGTGGAGGGCAAAGTCAGGGATAAAAGGACTTTGATTCCTACTTTCCCTCTCCACTTTCTTGCAAGGAAAGTGCTTTCCCCCTACACTTCCTTTGCAAAAAGCTGCTTTCCCCCTCCACTTTTTGCAATGAAAGTGGAGGTGGAAAGCTATTCCTGCTTTCCCCCTACACTTTCTTTGCAAAAAGCTGCTTTCCCCCTCAATTTTTCCTCTACAAGTATCATTTCATACACGGAAAAATATGGTAGTTGCCTAAAACAACAGCTGGACAGTCATATTCTGTGCATCTGTTGGAGGTGTTCTTGATCCTAGAATCCAATGTTGAGGCAGGATTGCATATATGACACCCTCAAACTATTTCTTTCTATATTATACATGAGCTCAAATATACAGACAGCAGCTGGTGAGAAGTGGAGAAACTCACCAGAGTATGTGAAGAAGGCAAGTACACTCACAAGGAAAGCTCCAACCATGCTAGTATTCCTAGCATTTTAATATGCTGGCTATTTTAATATGCTGGCTTTCTATAGTCATTTGGAATATGTAACAGATAAAAAAGCATTGGCTGGGTTTCAAGGTTCCACCACCTTCTTTTCCCCTTTGTTTAATGCTACCCTTCTTTTACCCACAGACACACAGCTCTCCTCCTATACAGCATTTAAAGTTTCATTTTATTAGGACATTTGCGAATATGACACTAAACCTTTCTTACACTGTATTTATAAAAGACAGGTGGCTAATTCTTTGCTATTTCACAAAGACTCACATATTTATTGTGGCACAAACTTCTGTGGGAAAGCAAAGGCCATTTAACTAGTCACAAAGACAAGAGGCATTATAAATAACATTTGTTTCATATGCTTTTGTCTTCAGTCCTAGTCTCTGAAATCCCATCTTCTCATAATTCTGCAGATCTGTCTCCTAAACAAGTTCCAAGCAACTTTTGTTCCTTAAAAAGTCTTAATATCTTCTAGTCATAGATGGTTTATGCCTGGACCAAGGGAGTGACCCACAAGCTGCCTTTGTTTCTAAGCATTTGCCGGAGAACTTAGCTTTGCTGAGAAAGAGTGTCCCTGGAAATATGAAATCTGAGCTATGTGCTCCTGTTAAATTTTCCACACAATTAAACTAAAGGCAGTTACCCTGGGGATATCTCATTGTGGTAGTATGAGAAGGACTAAACAGACATTTGTTTGTCAGCTGTAGTCTACCTAAGCATGAAGGTTAATATATGATCGAAATATGAAGTATTTGCTTCTGCTCCTTTTAAACTGTATGCCTAAGACGCTTTTCGGAGTTAAATCTGCCGTAACTAACTTATGAATAGGTTTTCTAATGTATTTTCTCCACTTTTAGAGTGTTTTATAATATCAAAAGAGCTGTCATGATTGTTGAAAAAGGTGCTTTTTAAACAGCTGATGGTTACAGTTTAGGACTCATATATTCTGTCTCCTGTGGCTCATTTGCAAAACTGTTATGCCCATTGGGCATAGTTTTTTTTATCATCTCTTAAAACATACTAGGAACTTAACAGCTGCTGTTCAGGAGTGTAAATTTTTTAGTATTTTATATTATTTATCTAGGTCATTATTTATTTATTTAATTTATATGCCGCCCACTTTACCCAAAGGTCTCTGGGCGGCTTGCAACAATTAAAATACAATAAAAATATAAAACAATGAAAATACGATACCATATTGACCTTGTTTCAGATCTGCTTGCTGCTGCAACAGTGTTTCCTTAAGGAATGTAAAAGATTTCATAGTAGTTATAAAATGAAGAAAAATAATAACTTATTTTCATCCTCATCCCAATAAAACAGTAATACAGTTAAAGACATATAGCACCTCTTAAAACTGAGCAATTGCAGTTAGAATATCAATGGCAATTAATATAATCATCAGCTGTTTATTAAAAGCAGACTGAAATAAATATGTCCAAGAAACATCCAAAGATTGGTCCTTTTGTATTTCTCAGGGAAGACAGTTGTAGTAGTTTGGGAGTAAAACTTTAAGAGCCCTGTCCTAATAACTGTCAGTTCAGTGTCTTTTAATATACTGTACAGTACAGACTCTGTGACTGACTGAAAAACCCAGTCAGGATTGAGTGGGTGTACATGTCCTTCAGATAACCTGGTTTTAAAGTCTCAAACCACCACTTTAAATTTGGTTGAGAAATACACAGGTAGCTAGTAATAGGTTCAAAACTTATGTACTATGTTCTGAATGCTTGTCACCTACCTGCATCCTTGTTGCCATGTCTCGTACCAATCACATTTCCAGCCAATCATTGAAAACAGTCCTATGTAACCAAATGTAACCAAAGGATGTGTTGTAGAGATTAGACTTCTTTTTTAGATAGAACAGCAGTCAATATTTGGGAAAACAGTTGTGGATACTACTGTCATCTGCATCTCTTTTGAGACCATCAAATGTAGGAGCACTTTAAAGTTGGATCAGTGAGTTTAATCCCACTGATAGAAATGGGAAAGACATGATGTTCCTACCTCTCTCCTGTGGAAGGCCACTAAATTATTGAACTAAATTATTGATTTTTAGCTGTGTGGCAGGAGCAGATCATATAGTACTAGTGGACTTTGGCAAGTATGACGTTAGATTAAACTCTCTGATTTCACATCTGCCTTCAGTGCAGTGCAACCAAATCTAAAATGTGATAAATAAATCCCAGATTAAGATAATTTCTAATCCACAAGCCTTCCATTTTGTCCATATTTGTCATCAGTTTGTTCATTTTTATCAGCCTCAAAAATTCCTCTAGAAACCTGTTCAGAACTTTAGTAAAGGTTCAGTACCAAACAGCAATCTGCAGTTGTATTTAGAAATTACTAATATTTCTGCAAAAGTGAAGCTTTATTTTTTTAAACTTTCCCTACAGCTTTTCTTTACATTTGTGTGCTTATTTCTATTCTCTCCTTTAATGCTTCTTCACTTCCTATTAAACACCCTTTTCCACAATTTTATTGAATTAATTCCTGCTTTTCTTTGGTGATGTTTCTCGGTGATCTGGCACTGTCTTACACATTCACTGATTTATTTTAGTTTTGTTTGAATTAATTGAGGAAAGATAGTTGTTTTTGTTTGGATCCTATTCCTTTTTTGTCAAATGGAGGTCAACAGGTTCAGAGTGTTGTTTCCTTCAGTGTAGGCAACTGTGGAACACATCTGTTTGTATACTGAAAGCAGTGCCACAGCCTTGTGATTTATTGCTTTATTGAGTTGTTTGTCAGTTTGAATTTATGGCCTTGTCTTTGAAGTATGGTTATTATTAAATCATGGGTGATATTTTGTTTCCTATAAAGTTTAGAAGAAATGGAAGAAAAATACCAAAACAGGGAATCAAGACCAGAAGACTTGCAGCTTATTGCTGAGTTGAAAGACCTGATTGCTGAGAGGGATCAGCTAATAAAGAAACTGATTGTAAGACAGTTTGGTACTCTTTTAGTGTGAGCATGCCAGAAGTTAATAATCTTTCTCTAATTTGAGAAATACAGTACTGTTAAACTTGAAAGTTGAAATATTAGTAAAACATATTTCTGTCGAATGGATAAATCTGAAGGGAAAAACATATTTATATGGGTGTTACTATAAATTATCTCAGTTACATAAATTCTAGTTATTCCGGTTCTGCTTTTGTGTTCTTAAAGATGAATTATTCATTTTAAGAACTGTTTTGCTAGTCCAAAGTTATAGCCTTAACTCTAAAATAATACATTTTGCTAGTCCAAAGTTACAGCCTTAACTCCAAAATAGTACATTTTTACATAATTAAATTTATTCTCTTGTCTTTTCCATTTTTAAAGATTTTTCAAATCACTTAAGATCATGCTCACAAAATCATACTTTTTTCATATAGTAGATCCATTGCAGTTCTTAAAGATTGAAAGAATGGAGTGAGGCATTATATTAACAAATGAAGGAAGTATTTGCAGCTGAATGTAATTTTAGCAGAATGGAAGTATTTTTGTAAAATGTAAATGAAAGATTAATTTCAATACATTTGAGAGAGAATGTTTTTGAAACACTTTCAGTTGTACCTTACATCTCATATAATTGCACATTAGCAATTATATGATTAAGTGCTGGAGACGTATTTACAACATTCAGATATTTTACATGTGTTTTGGTCTTGTTTCAAAATACTTTTAGCAAACAGCGATTGAGTTTTTTAAAGTTATGTTAGATAGTAATACACCACTGGATCATGTAACTTTGTTGACCTGTAGAAAGACATTTTTGATCATACTGGACTGGTTTCAAATCTGCTTGCTGTTGCAACAAACTAAAAAAAGAGCAGAGCCTCCTTTTGTAAAAGGTTATGATGATAATCTTAGAACTGCAGATCTGGAAGGGAGCCTATGGATCCTCAAATCCAGCCGCTGTCGAAGAGGCAGAATAGGGAATCAATCTCTCAACTTTTGGCTCTGCAACCAAATACAGTGGGGTCTTGACTTGAGAACTTAATTCGTATTGGAAGGCGGTTCTCAAGTCAAAAAGTCTGTAAGTCAAGCCGTCTGTAAGTCAAGGGTCCACTGTATCTAAACCGCTGAGCCATCCATGTTTTAATCATTTCTAAAACATTGCCTTCTTAATTAAATTGACATAAAGGCCAGGATTCTGTTGGTAATTTATACTGCCATGGATGCAATGATACATTGGAGTGGCAAATTAGAATTCCAGCATTAATTAATTGGAATCAGCATTAATTTTGTTCCATCTTCCATATCCAATTATTTTCAGTGAATACATTAAAAATCATTTTACTATCAAATGCACTCCTTTACAATGGAGAGTAAAAACAATTCTTATTGGAAGGATTGGTAGACAGTTGTTACTTATCCAACCCACTTTTGACATGGCCTTTTCTGAAGGTCATGACCTATGGATAGCATCTCATTATGTACAAATATGGAGGAATTCTCTGTGGTTCCATTATCATATACAGATCACTACCTGGTAAGGTTTAGACATATTAGAACTCAAAATCTCTGCATGCGTGGGGACTGATTAGGATGGTCTGCCCCTGGAGACTGATGGATCCAAATGGTTTCCTGACAGTTCTTAAGGAGTTTCATGTTGCTTTGGCAGATAATTGTGGGAAACAGGGAGTGAATCTGACTGAATATGATCTAAAGCACAGTTGAAAGTCTATTCCACGACTATGCTTGTAGCAAAGAAGGCATTCTTCTCTGCCACCATTGTGTTAAAACAGGGAGTGAATCCGACTGAATATGATCTAAAGCACTTCTTCTTAACCTTTGTTACTCAGATGCTTTTGGACTGCAACTCCCAGAAGCCTTCACCATCAGCTCTGCTGGCTGGGGTTTCTGAGAGTTGCAGTTCAAAAACACCTGACTAACAAAGGTTAAGAACCACTGATCTAAAGCAGTGGTTCTTAACCTTTGTTACTCGGATGTTTTTGAACTGCAACTCCCAGAACCCCCAGCCAGCACAGTTGGTGGTGAAGGCTTCTGGGAGTTGCAGTCCACAACTCCTGAGTAACCCAAGGTTAAGAACCAGTGATCTAAAGCACAGTTGAAAGTCTATTCCATGACTATGCTTGTAGCAAAGAAGGCATTCTTCTCTGCCACCATTGTGTCTGCACAGAGTTATACAGCAGAGTCATTTTGAGTGGTCAGGGGCCTAATACATGCCCACCAAAAGAACAAGATGCTGACCATTCAACAACCTGTGAGAAATTTGCATTACATTGCAGACAAAGACACTGATGTGCTCTGACTTGGATACTGAATTTGATGTAGATCATGTGGATGTAATTTTGGCCCCTGCTTGTCCCGTATAATGAATACGTTTTCATTGGAGCAACCTGAGCTTGTGGAAAGGATTCTTGGAATGGTGAAAGCTATCACATGTGTGTTGGTCCTTTTCCTTCCTGACTTATAAAAGCAGCCAGAGGGGGACTGGCCAACTGGGTAAGGGGAGTGATAAATGCCTTCCTGCACTAAAATAGGCTGCCTGCATGCTTAAAGGAGGCAATAATAAAGCTATTATTGAAAAAAAAGTCCTTGAATATCACTGTACTAGGCAACTATCAGGCAGTCTCAAATAGTCCATTTCTAGGCGAGGTACTGGAGTATGTGGTAGTTTATCAGCTTCAAGGATTCCTGGACGAAGCAGATTATCTAGATTCATTTAAATCTGGTTTCAGGCTTAGCTATGGGACAGAGATAGCCTTGGCGAATGATCTGTGCCTAGATCCATTCTGATTTCAGGCTTAGCTATGGGACAGAGATAGCCTTAGTGAATGATCTATGCCAGGATCAGGACAGGGGAATGTTTCCCTATTGGTATTGATATACTTCTTTCAATATCAACTATTGTATCCTTCTGGGCCCTCTCTATGGGATGGGACTTGGAGGCACTGTTTTACAAAATGACTATTGTATCCTTCTGGGCCCTCTCTGTGGGATGGGACTTAGAGGCACTGTTTTACAATGGCTCCAGTCCTTCCCAGAGAGGAACTCCTGTTTGATGCCCTGGTCATTGGCCTGTGGCATCCCTCACGATTTTTGTTTTGTCCCCATGTAGCATATACATGGAACAGCTGGGAGAGTTTGTCTGGAGCTGTAGAGTTTGGTGTCACCAAGTATGCTGATGACACTCAATTGTATCTTTCTATAGTATCTAATTCCAAGAAAGCTGTCTTGCTTCTAAACTGATGCCTGGTGTCATCAATGAGCTGGATAAGGGCAAGCAAATTGAAACTTAATCCAGAAAAGACATATGTTCCAGGTCAATCAAAAGACAGTTGAGGGGAAAGGAATGCAACCTGTGCTGGATGGGGTTACACTCTCCTTGTAAAATCAGGTCTATAGCTTGCGTATATTTTTGGATTCTTCTCTGAGCCTGGATGCTCAGTTTTGGTGCATTTGCACAGATAAAACTGGTGTGCCTGCTGTGTCTGTTCCTTGAGATATTTGATTTAGTCCCAATTACGCATTCTTTATTTACATCCTTCTTTCATCACTGTAATGCGCTCTGCATGGGGCTGCCTTTCAAGATGGTTCAGAAACTACAGCAGGTTCAAAATGCAACTGCCAGACTGCTGACTAGGGCCATTTATGGAAAGTACGGTGGTGCCTCGACTTACAAAATTAATCCGTATTGGACCGATGGCCGTTAACTTGATACTTTCGTAAGTCGAAGCACCAATTCCCATAGGAATGCATTGAACACCGATTAATCTATTCCAGCCAAAGGAAAAAAAATCCCTGGCTTCCAAAACTGCACCCACTGTCCTCTGCCTCCCATCCCCGAGGGAACAGCAGACAGAGGGCAGCAGGGACAGGAAGCAGAGGGCAGCGGGTGCAGCTTTGGAAGCCCGGAAAGCCGAAAGCCTCCCCAACCTCTGCGCTGGTGCCGGCTTCCCGGGCTTCCAAACTGCCCCGGCTGCCCTCTCCCTTCTGTCCCCGCTGCCTTCTGCCTACTGTCCCCATGGGGACAGGAGGCAGAGGGCAACGGGGACAGGAGGCAGAGGGTAGCGAAGGGGGTTCGGACGCCCAGGAAGCCGGCACCCAGCGCGGAGCTCGGGGTGGTGTTGGAAGCCTGGGAGGCTGAATCTTCCTTTTCCTAACCGTTGAGGAGAAGATGCAGCCTCTTCGCCACCAACGGTTTGAATTCCCCACCTTTTTCCCCTCCCTTTTTGTTCATAACTGGAAGCTCCGACCACAAGTTGAAGCAAAATTTTGCGGCCAGAGCTTTTCATAACTCTAAATTTTTGTAAGTAGGGACATTCGTAAGTTGAGGCCCCACTGTATATAACTCACCTGCTACAGCTACACTGGCTACCAGTCTGTTTTCAGGCCCAATTCAAAGTTATCATTTATAAGGCCTGTATGATTTGGGTCCAGGCTATCTAAAGGATTGTAGCTCCACATCCGAGCCCTCCTGGCCCTCAAGATCTTTAGAGGAGGACCTTCTATCAGTCCCCTTGCCACTGCAGGCACATTTGATGAGGGGGCCTTCTTTGCAGCCACTCCCAGGTTGTGGACTGCTCTCCCACAGGAAGTTAGGCCGGCCCCTCCCTTTTATCTTTCTGCCTGACCATTGAAGACACTTCAGACAGGTGGGGAATGCAAAACGAAAATAATTTTATTCTTCTACGGCCACACCCAGCATTTTTCTCACAAGAGTGTCCAGAACCTCCTGCCAGCAGTTCACACCACCTAAAAACAGTTTTGAAGTTTCCTAAACTTCTCCAGCAGGTTTGAGGAGTGCACAGGAAGCTGCAGTGGATAGTCCCTTTCATTTCACTGTTTCCATTGTTTCACCAGCAAAAGCCCCTGGATGTTTTATAGAAAGCAAGAAAGGTAGAATCGCTAGAGTGGTGAGTCTTGGGAGGTGCCTGGCCTTCTGGAAGTGGCCCCAAGAAGCCAGTTCCTGAAAGCCAGTATGTCACTGCAATTGCTGATATGATTCAGTGCTAGATGTTTACTACTGGCATGAGTCTGCAAATAATGACAGGAGATCAGATCCCATTATACTACCGTTACAGTTTTGCTGGTGTTTTGTCTCTTGATGTGACAGTAGAGTGATCTGCTAAGATGCAATACGTAATGTACTTCGGCACATAAATGGAGCCAACACACACAGTTTTAGGAAAGTGAACACAAGCTTATATATAGCTTTTCATAAAATAAAAGACACGGTAAAAGTTTCTATACCGGGGTTGGATCACTCTGTCTTCCTTACCATGTGAATTTAGGAACTGCCATCCCAATTTTAGAAATTACGATTGCCCTAAATCCTGGTTATATGTTTCCACTTTTAGCTCAGCATCTTTACATTTTGGATTATATTAATGAAGTGTGGCTGTTTTCTGGCTGTAGTGAATTGATATCTCAGGGTGATTGAACATAGAAATAAGTTTGGGAGTTATAAAATATGCTTGAAACAATATGGGCATCATTGTTTGTTCTTTATTAGGATGACAAAAAATTCTATCAACTGGAACTAGTCAATCGGGAGACTAATTTCAACAAGGTGTTTAATGCAAGCCCTAATGTTGGTGTTATTAATCCTCTGGTGAAGGTATGTATCACAGTCATAATGTTTAAATTAGGGAAATCTATATTACTAGGATTACATAAAGAATTAAAGATAACCAAGAAGAAAACACCATAAAGGCAGATGCACTGATGAATATGGTCCAGAGTAACCATCCAGTGAGATTTTAAGTTAAATTTTTATTTTTCATATGACTCTTGTATTTTGCAATTAAGAATAATATAATTTTATACTTTGAGCATTGAGCGTGATACAGGTTTCTAGGTTGTTTTGTAGATTGTTGTAATGGATGTAAATTTTGTTTAAACACTGAGGCCAGAAATCTCTTCATTGGTTGTGCAAGTCGTTTAACTCTTTTCCTAGCTTGTATAAGAAGGTATCCAGAACCACTTTGCAAATAAATAAATGAAATAAAGCATAAGCCCCATTTGTTTCAACGGGAGAATCTCTGGCTTATGTAACAGGAGGCCAGAGAACACACACCACACTCTGCCAGTGGGAAGTTAGTGTTCCATAGTATTAAATAGAATATTGGCCTTAGTGTGTAAAGTGTTGTACTGTATAATGCTTAGATATGGTAATATTTTGTTTAATGCAGTTTGTTATATTGGGTGTTGTATTTAGAAGTTGTACATTTTTTGTCTTCCATAAACATTTCCTTTGATTAATAATTTCCCCAAAGTGTGTTGATACTCATACCTACCTGTCCTGTCTTTTTGATTTTCAGTTGCCAGCATTCCCTCTGTAAATATTTTTTTCCTAAAAGCCCAATAATTCACATCCTCATCATTAGTTATATACATTATCTAATTTATTTTTAGATCTCAGTAAGGTGGAAGTTTAAATAAATACAGTTATCTCATTACAACAGGCCTTTTCGGGTTTACTGCTCTCCCTTTGTAACCTTCACATTGTTCAGGTTAGATTCAGATTTGCTAGGAACACAACTGCATTAACTTGACACTTCTATAATCAGAAGGCAGGGAAGCCTTTTCCATTGATTCTGCCTCTAGTCCTGTTTGCCTTTTGAAAATCTGCTCCATATGTAGAAGCTGCACCAGAACAGGTTGCAATTTGACACTAGGAATTGAGCAGAGGGGAGGGAAAATGACAAAAACACCCCACTGCCTTTCTTTCACCTGAAGCCTCCACTATTCCAAGTCCTTCCCATTAATAGAAGGAACCCTTCCATTTGATCATTCTAATGTGTTGTGTGTGCAGTCATTACTGAATAGTTACATGGGACACACATGTCTTTTATCTTATCTGTGGACTAGATGCAAAGAAAGCCATGTCAGTCCAGAAGAAAATTTTCAAGATTCACAGTCAGACATGATATTTATTAGGACCACCATTGCTGTGGCAAAATGTTCAGCTCTGACTTGTCCCAGAAAGGAAATTATTGGTGATTTTGGGAAACTGTAAATACCAATGGCATTAGCAGCGCAGTTATCCATGGTTACAGGAAATATGCTTTACTCTGAAGGATACATGTGTGCCATCTAGTGGAAAGAACACTTTGTGGTTGCTTCAGCACTAGCCCTTTTTTTCTAGAATTGCCAATCTGGTCACTTTTTATAGGAAAGAAACAGATATGGTAAGAGAAGCTGTGATTAGAAATACAAGTATTAGTGTTGGGGAAACATGATGGTGTGTCTTAGAAAACAGAGTTCAAAGGAATCCTGTGCTTAAATCCTGAAAGCCAGTCATGCAACAAAGCAAACCACTTTGCAAATTACATGAGGTCACTGCTGTGTATTCATATGCTTTCAGTTGTTATGGAATTTCCTCTTCTAATCAGTTTTTTCTAATCAATACCTATTGCATCTGCTTCTGCCCACAATGAATCCAGATAGCCAGTGCTTCCAAATAGCACAGTCATCCCTCTTCTGTTTAAGCTAAAAGTAGAATTCACATTTGCTGTCCACACTTCATGGAGTCTATAATTCTTTGCCATTCATCTAGTAGGTGCAAGAGAGCCAAGTGGACGGTGTCCCAACTCCTTCCTGTAACCTTAGTGGTTCATCTGCTCTCCAAACATTCTTAGGTTTGTGCATCTCAGCACCATTTTAACATTTTATTGTTCATGCCTGTGTATCTTTAAAATTATACATGGCAAATGGATTATTTCTGAGAAAGCATCATTACAAAGGAAACATAAATCTTTTTCCGATCAGTTTCACAGCCTCACCCATTACCTTTTGCAGTCAATTTCAGTTTCAAACATGCCCTTGATTTTCCTGATCAGTTCCCAGGCTAGAACACTGCAGATTGGGGCCAGGTCTCCCTGCATGTCGGAAAGCTCCTTTTATTGCTTTCAAAAGAAGAAAGGAAGGCAGTACTTGAACTTAAGGAGAGTCAGGTTTTCCTTCCTGTCTTTTTAAAACACCGTTCTTGTAGTGTTAGTGGCTCTATCCCAGCACTGTGAAGTTGAAAAATTGAAAAATGCTATTTTAAAAAATTATATACCAGTAAGCAGATTGCAGCCTGACAGATATTGTATATTTACTTTTTCTCAGAAGAAAGCACTGCTGTTTCCATTAGTTTGTCTCCCTATTTTATATGCTCAGAGGTCCTTTCAGAGAGGGAGAAAGGATGTCCTTTGGAGGATGTGAAATGGCTGTATAAGCAGAAATTCATGACAAGGTGTCAAGGAAAGAAGGTGTTGTCCACCTTCCCCAAGGGGAAGCCTTTCCACTGTGTCTCAATTGTACAATTTTGTATTCACACCTAATGAAAAATTGCATGGCTATTCTCATATTTATTCCCTTAGTGGATTTTTGTTTTGTTAAAAAAATGGGTGGTGTACAGCAGTGGGATAACAGGGTTTCAAATGGATCACAAGATCCCCTGTACCCTCCATAACAATCTGTGGGCAAGCACCCATAGCTACCTGCAGAGTTCCTATAGAGCAGTGGTCCCCAACCTTGGGCCTCCAGATGTTCTTGGGCTTCAACTCCCAGAAGTCATGGCCAGCAGAGGTGGTGGTGAAGGCTTCTGGGAGTTGTAGTCCAAGAACATCTGGAAGCCCAAGGTTGGGGACCACTGCTCTAGAGGTTATCCTTTACCCAGTTGAGCCCTGAAGACTTGAAGGCCTCACAGTTGTGGTCTGATGTTTTCTGTGTTGTTTTGGGGGTTTTTTAAATATTTTACTAAAGTTGATTTGTGCCTAGTTGTTTTTGGTGGTGGTAGTAGTGGTTCCCACCCCAGTAAAAACTGGTGTAGTACCAGCCCGTTCATTTAAGAGAGAAAAACTCTGTTGAAGATTTTTCAGGGCTACTTGCGGATTTCTTGTTTATAAGTTCTGCCTAACATACTGCTTCCTGTTGATCAGGATTGTGAGATTAGTGTTGAATACCTTCTTAATTTCTACATTAATAGCTTATTTTAATTGGTCCAATATCAGTTTTTTACTCCCAGCATGCAGAAACTTTAATTGCTAATGCATTTTCTTTATTTTTTGTTCTTTTCACTTTTATAGCAAGATATATTTGCTATAAAAATGAAAATGGAAAACAAAGGCAAGGGATCCAGTAAATAAAGCCCCGCTTTGTGTTGAAAAGTGGGGGAAGGGGCGATAAGGGAAGCTTTTGGAGTAACAAGTGAAAGAGAAATTTCAGTTACTTATCACTAATTATCAAACTGGAATCAAAAGGAAGCAATTAAAAGAGCAGGATCTGCAAACAGGAATCTTCCAAGTGGCAGGAAAACAGGTGTGGGCAGTGTGGGTCCCTGCAGACTGCCACTCCCAGCATTCTTCATTATTAGCTGTGCTGGTTAAGACTGGTAAGAGCTGAAATGTAAAAACAACTAGAGGGCTGTCCTTTGCCCACCCCTTTGTTAAAAAAGAATATTTACATATAAAGATTTACTTATGAATTAACATTATAAAAGGATCACAGTCATGGAGAAAGACTCTGCATAATAATCCTGCACTACATTAAATAGTCTTTGGAAATTATATTTTCATTCACGTTTAGCTAATTACAGAAAAAACTGTGTGCTAAAAGTGCTAAAAAACCTATGGTGTGAAAGCAACCTAAAATCAACATAAGAGCATACAGAAGAACATGAGAAGAGCCCTGCTGGATCAGGCCAAGGGCCCATCTAGTCCAGCTTCCTGTATCTCACAGTGGCCCCACCAGATGCCTCTGGGAGCACACGAGACAACTTAGATACCTGTCTCCTGATCCCCATCATGGCTTGTAACCTGAGATGGACGTTTCCTCCAGAAATCTGTCTAATCCCCTTTTAAAGTTATCTAGGCCAGATGCCTTAAACCCCATATCCTGTGGCAAGGAGTTCCACAGGCTAACAACACACAAGCTAAAGAAATATTTTCTTTTGTCTGTTGTCACTCAGTTGGAGTGGATGTCCCCTGGTTCTGTTATTGTGTGAGAGGGAAAACAGCTTTCTTCTATCCACTTTATCCATGCCCTGCATAATTTTAAATGTATCAATCATGTCCCCCCTCAGGCGCCTTAATTAATACAAGACAGCAGGACAACTTCTATTGAAAAGATTCAATAAGGGCAATTAATAGCTATCAGTCATAATAAGTGTAAATCAAACTGGACTACACAGGCCTTTCTCTTGATCCAGTATGCCTATTATTAGGTTCTTTACGTTTCCACAGATAACTGCACAAAAAATGATTGTGCATATTTCAAACCAGAGCAAAAAGAAAAGTATTCTAAAGCAGATTCTTCTTCCTTTAAATAGGACCAATAAATGTTCTGGACAGGCTAATCAAGTAGGTTATTTCCTGAACTATTAACAACACAATATTTGCTTCTTATACTTACTTATTTTAAGCTAATATAACAACTTATGCTGCACTGTCTTTTCAGTGAATCTCAGATGACATTTGTTGGAAGGACTGCTGCGTTTAGATACATAATATGGGTGAAAATTAAGTACTTATAACTAGATATACTTTTGTAGAATTTCTATCTATCTGTCTCAGGGGGTGACTAGATGGCCAGATCATCCCAGCTTGGATTGGGCTGTGTGTTTAGTCGTTTAGTCGTGTAATCATCCCAGCTTGGATTGGGCTAGAGCAGGCTAAACAGGTGTGGTAGTCCATTGGGGCAATCTTTGCATTCATATGCAAGGATTAGCCACACTACACCTTAAGGGACCCTCTTTGGCCCTTCTTGGCTAGAGCAGGCTAAACAGGCTCACTTTGAGGTGTGGTAGCCCATTGGGGCAATCTTTGCATTCATATGGATTAGCCACACTGCACCTTAAGGGACCCTCTTTGGCCCTTCTTTCCTTTTAAATAGACAGGGGGAAAAAAGAAAAATCAACAACAAAATCCTCCTTCTTACCTCCTTGGTGTTTTGGTTAAGTCACTTCACTATCTTGAGAAACTGAAAGCTTCCTCCCACTTCCCTGTGGAGAGGGGGAGAGAAGAAGTTTTTAGTTTTTTCCCTACATGGTATATTGCATCAGCACTGCCTTACAAGGGCTTTAAAAATGCACAAACATTTGCTTGTTCCCTCCCTCCTCCACAGCGATTTAAGCAAAGGGCTTAAGCCGTCTATTTTTGTTCAGTTCCAGCAGTCACACCTAGAACCACATCAGAAAAAGAGTAGCCCTTGACAGAGAGCCGAAAAGGTGTAGGTATGCATCAATTAGGAATGGGCTGGTTTCCAATGGCCCATATACCATTTGGTTGCCAGGAAAAGGAGCAAACCAGTCTCCTCAAAACAAAACAACCCAGAGGACAAATCCCTGTCTGGTTGCACCATCAGATTTCCTTTAGGAGTGAAATTTACTGAGCCATAACCTGTTTGAAATCTAAATTTCTATTCAATTGTTTTCTTCTGCAGTAAGATTAACCTACTACTGTACATTTGTGAAGTTGGATGCTACTGAATAAGGGCCAGTACATTAGTTTTAGACAAGCAGTTCCCATTCTTCTTCAAGAATGATAATCTGCGACAGATTAAGCCTTAATACTGCAATTAAAACAAAACAAAACCGAAGCTCTAACTTCCAAGTAAACCAAAAACCTGACCCTCCAGCAATATTCTTATTTGTACAGGCCCTTCCTCACATTTGTTATTTTTAATGCAGCAAAAGAAGAAGATTGATAAATCAGCAAACAGGTTTGTGAGTGTTCCCAATCTAAGTGCTCTGGAATCTAGCGGAGTGGGCAATGGACATGCTAACCGCCTGGACCCTATTCCTAATTCACCCATCCACGATATTGAGTTCAACAGCAGCAGACCACTTCCACAGCCAATACCACCCAAAGAGCCCAAGACGGTTTTGAGGTGAGCATTGCCTCACCAGTTTTTGCTTTTATTTTTCCTAACTTGGAGAAAATTTGGATTTCTTTTTAGCTGAACCCCACCTGTTTTAAGAGCACAGGAGTGCAAATTCTGCTTTGAGATTCTGGTTTTCACACTATATTTTAAACCTCTTTACAGTATCCCTTTTAAATGTAAAATTGTTGAAATGTGATTTTCCCTTTGTGCCTATTAAATCCTGAAGCCTTCTTTACCATTTTTTAGAGGTACACTATCCAATATGGTTCATGTGCTTTCAATTGTTTACATTTATGAACAATTGTGTTAAACTGTGTTTGTGTTACAATTAATATAACATGTTATAATCCCCATAATAAAATCCATCATTTTGTATGGGTGGTTCTTAGCCGACAAAACTATTTATCCTGTTAGAGTAATGTGTATTAATTTATTTCCTTTCCTCTCCTCAGAAAATTTTTTTCTTGAAAGCAACCTTAGAATACATGTGAATGTGTGCATGCATTAGCCATTCTTTAATGCTGTTCTTCAGCATTAAAATACTGTACTCAAGTCTGATTTTTGCTTTAGAAAGTGATAGAATGAGTTTTACTATTTATTTTTGTTTAGTTTAGCAGACTAAAACAAAAGTATAGTGCTTCATATTTGGAGAAAGTAAATCCCTTCTACTTGCTTTTAAATTCCATCCCAGTGCTACCTGCAAAACTGAAGAGGGGGGAACAGAGGGTGGAACAGTAAGGTTAACAAGTAATAGGTTTTTATTTCTAAAAGCGAAGTTCCTTTAATGTGTAACATTCCTTATTTTTCCCTGTGCATGTGGTATGCATGTATGCTCAGACGTCACTAACATGCATGTGCATGAATTCATGGATGGTGATGCTGCAGTTTCCGTTGCAAATTATTTCGTGCCTTGTATTTCCCTCAAAACGGTAGGGTTTATTTTCTTAATTTTCCTTACCAAAGAATTTCATTTTACTAAAACATTAAAGTATATATAGAAATTACACAATCATGCAAATTTACTTGGGAATTGTATCTGTAAGAGACAAGTATGCTTGTTTTCTGATGAATTCCTTATTTATAATATACCCATCTCCCATGTGCATGCAACTGTAACATTTCAGTCTGAGTTATGTAACATTAAAATCTGTATTTGTTGTTATTGGCTAGCATGTCCTTAAGAATATGATGCTTGCATCATACTTCTGAGAAGTAACTTGACTAGAAGAAAAGGATGCTAAAAGAGGATCTTTAAAAAAAACTTTTTCTTACACCATCTTTTAACAAAAGCAGCAACCCACTCTTTTTTTCCACCCTGAAATACTGTTTTTCCACCCTGTCATGTGGCTTAGTGACTTTGTGCTGCTGATGCTCTCCAATGGAGTGGATGATCAGAGGTAGAAAAAGGGGATGTTAAACTAATAACATGCTATTGAGATGCAATACTTGAATCACGAACATTGTGTGCTCTATATTGCCTTCGCTGTGATTTTTCCAGGATTTGTGCAGTTTCATTGATGGTTATGAATTAAATCTGTCTTTTTTCTTTATGAATTTAGCCCTCCTCAGACTGAAGCTTCTCCAGTGGCTTCACCAGATCCACAGCGTCAGGAATGGTTTGCCCGTTACTTCACGTTCTGAGAGAGTATTTTTTTTATGCGTGGCACAGCATGGTGTGGACTGTTCATAAGAGCATGACCTTGAAATAAACCCTTATGTGATCAAGCTTTCTTGTAATATGTCAAACACTGTGAATGAGAAAGTATTTGTCTCTGATTTGAAAATGCACTGTATTTTACGTGATATTGTTGGAATCACTTGACATGGTAATATAAATGTGCTTAATGACACTTATTTTTATTTAAGATGAAAAAGTATTTAAACTTTGTAATTACCGCAAAATAAATTTTCATAGAAGAAACTTAAAACTTCCCTCTGCTTTTCCTATAAATATGTATTTTATTTGGTTTCAGGGAAGGCTTTAATTCCTCCTGTCACCCCACCCAAATGCAATCAGTTGCATGAATATTGTATAACAAAATAAACTGTCAACAGTTTTTTAAAAATCAGACTGTGGCAAGATATGTTTAAGTCCTTCTATTTTTATTTAGTTATCTTATAGAAATGACTTTGAAAACTGTGTTTATTCTAAAAGTGGTGGAGAATGCAAAATAAATACACATATACTGTAGTAGTATAGCAGATGGCCTTTAGAACTCAATGGTTTTAAGATCATAGTAAGAGAATGGCATCATTTCTTGTCTACAACTGATCTGCCCTCTAGTAATTATAATTACTATATTTTACTGTTGAATTTCATCAAAATTTTGTCATAAATGTTTTATAAATACCTACAAAGATAATGCTCTTTAGAACATTTGGAGTACTACACTATGTAATGCTGTATAAAAATAGTTCATGGAAATCTGCATTTTGAGGATATTATTCTTTGGGCAAAACTCAGGCTTTATTAAAAAAAAGTGCTAAACCAATTATGCATAATAAAGCATGTAAATTTTTCATTAGCGCTCCAGTATACTTAATTTACAAAGAAAGATATTCCTTCTTCCATTATAAAATTAAGCCAGGGACCACATGATCTTTTTTTAAATAGGGTGAGCAAGCCTGATTTTCTGGTCTATTAGAGTAGTCTTAGAGATGTGCAAGCCCTTTGGAAGAAAAAATGTAATACACTGGCAAATCTGGTTTATACTTTTTTAGTTGATGTTGTTGGTGTTTATTCCAAGATTACCACAATGTAACCAACACTGGTAATCTCAGGGAGATTTTTTCCTTTGTTTTATGAATGTACTTAATATTTGTATCTTTAAAGTGGGGAGGGGGAAGATTGTTTGGTTATTTTAAATACAATTTTTATCCTTAGATACAGAAGTATAGCTCTTCATTATTTCTGCTGAAGCCCTGACTATGTCTTCCCATTATGCAAAAGCATAATAACCAATCAAAAATTACCACCACCACTTACAGTAAGTTTTATATGTAGTATATGTATAAAATAATTTGTATGTTTTCATATAAAATATTCTAAATCAAAATTTAGAAATATATCTCCTATATCTCAACCTGAAAGCTTCACTGGAAGCAGTGTTCTAGTGCTGCCCTGATAATCTGAAGCGATACTTGGCAGATACTCTATGGTTAATGGATTTAACTGTAGGTATATGCAGCCTTTACATTAGAAGAAAGCCATATTGAGTCAAAGTCAGATTTCTTGGCTGTTGTGAAATAAAACACACTGGATGATTTTGCTATGATGTTCTGAAGTATTTGTTGTGTTTTATTTATTTTTTTTCCTTGATGTGACCGGATATGATGAGAATAGTATGAAGAAAGTTTCTGTCTCATAGGGCATGTCCATTTAACCATTTTTGGTTAAATGCTTTTCATTCTTCCTAATAATTGTTATGGCAGCAGAACCAGTCTTCAAGCTACAGTCTTCCATAGCCAGAGAAGAGAAAATGAAAATATTCTGCATTGCTTTAATTAATCAGGAGCTTGTGCAGATTTTGTAAGGTGTACTATATGCTACAGGATTCTAAGGAGTGCTCTGAATTTATATGGAAAACTGACATGGCTTGCTGGGTCTAGATAGTATGTCCTAGAATCTAATGCATCCTAGCTGGGTTCAGCAAGCCACTCTACCAAGCACTAAGTTGGTAAGCAAGCCACACCAACATCCATGTAAATTAAGGGCACTCACTAAAGTTCTATGCAACATACACCAAAATCTGTAGAACCAAGAATATAATTGCATGTTCTGACGGCATGCCTTCAACAGGTGTTGCCCACTTTCTGCAGCTGTGGGCATATTTTGAACTATCACAGGAACTGCTACAGACATTATGCAGTCACAAAACAATTGGCCTGGCTGGTCCTAAAGATTAAGTAAAATTCCCAAGAAACTTAGTGCTTGGTAGAGGTTGGTTTTATGCCCTAATGTCAGACACCATATATCCCAGATTCTACATAACACAACAAAATAATGATAGGATTGCCAGGTCTCAGAGTGCCAGCTAGAATTGCTCTTTTCCTGGCTTCCCATGGGTGAGGACAAACCTCAGAGTGAGTGCCCCAGAGGAGGAGAAATCTTGGTGGCTTTCTTCCCCAGAAGGGACTTGAGGTGGCTTACAGTCAGCTAAAACCACACAATAATTGCTATTTTAAAATAATCTAAAGAGCAAACTGAAAACTAATTCAAAAATAATCTAAAACACTTTAAAAACATCATACAAATAGATGGAGATTTCCTAAATTAAAAGTTGGCCTGAAAAGGTGGGTTGTCACCCAACAATGGAAGGACAAGAGAGAGGTGGCCAGCCAGGCTTCTTGGAGCAGGACATTGCACAGCCATGGAGCAGCCACTGAGAAAGCCCTTTCCTGCATCCTTACAAAACAAGCCTAAGGGTAGTGGGACTGAGAGAAGGGCTTCCCCAGAAGATCTCAAGAACTGAGAAGGCTTATATGGGGGTGCTGTGGTTCGTCACACAGTCTGGACCCAAGACATATAAGGCTTTATAGTCATAACCAGCACTTTGAATTGGAACAGACTGGCAGCCAGTAAAGCTGTTGTACATGAAGGTTTGTAGAGAGTTATATGTAGTCTATAACAAGTTCCAGTCAGCAGTCTGGCTGCAGCATTTTGGGCCAGTTAAAGTTTCTGAACAGGCTTCAAAAGCAGCCACATATATATGAGAATGCATTGCAGTAATCCAAACAAGAAGTAACTAAGGCATACAACCATGGCCACATCTGACATTTCAAGGAATGGTCACAGCTCCTTCACCAGCTTCAACTGTGCAAATACACTTCTGGCCACCACCGAGACCTCTGGATCCAGGCTCAGAGATGAAACCAAGAACATACCCAAGCTGTGGACCTAAGTTTTCAAGGGGAATGCAACCCACCCAGTACAGGCTGAATCCTTATTCCAATTCTGTCTTTTGTCTAACCAAGAGCACCTCTTGTCTTCTCTGGTTAGCTTTCCATTTGTTTGCTCTTATCAACTCCACCACTGATAACAGTCACTGGACAGTTTCCTTGGAAACAGATGGAAAGGACAGAGTTGGGGGTCATCAAAGTATTATAGCACAGAAACCCCAAAACTCCAGACGTCTTCCAGTGATTTTATGTAGATGCTGAATAGCATGGGGGCCAAGACTAAGCTCTGGGGAACACTGTAAGTCAATGGCCAGGACGATGAAACAGGATTTCCCCAATATCACCTTCTGAGTTCAGGCAGGAAGGACCAGAACAGTAAAACCATTACTCCAAGACCCATCCCAAGAAGGCAGCCCAGAAGGATCCCAAGGTCAACAGTACTGAAAGCTGCTGAGAAGTCCAGCAGAAATAGTAAGGACATCCAGTTCCCTACTTCGGGCACATCAGGATAATTAATTTCCACCCATCTAGCAAGATTTGATTCCCTGTTTAAAAAAAAACAATGTGGGGAAAGGTGGAAGGCAGCAGGGAAAGAGGAACACTAAACACTAGATGGATTGACTCCCTAAAGCAAACCATGGGCTTGGGTTTATAGGAGCTGAGCAGGGTTGTTGAGGGCAGGACGTTTTGGCTCATTCATAGTTGCTGTAAGTGGAAAGCAACTTAAGCGCACATAAAAGCCATATGCCTAGGATTGTGCATTAATCTCGTGCCAGTCATGCACTCTTAAATTATTATCTCGTCTGTAATATTTAGGAATTTAAAGCGAGAAATAACAGCGTATTTTCCCATCCGCAGATAATTGATTCCTTTCCTCTGGTTCTCATAACAAACGGGAGATCTGTCCCTGGTCTTTCGTCTTAAGTCTAGCATTTCCCCACTTTGAGGATTTCCACCCAGCCCCAAAATCGACCAGGCGCTGCATTCGGCCGCCCAAATCATCATCATTCCTCCCCATGAGCCCTGCTATCTAGCGCTGATGGGAACGGTAGTTTGTCTTTCTCTGAGAAGTCAAAGGATTCCCGCCACCTTTCCCCTCCCCAGTCCCGGTAGAAAGCCCATCTTTCTAAGGCCGGCGGCATTTAATTTAATTTGGCAACGTAAACCGGGGAGAGGAGGCGTCCACGGAGGCGCCCGGCCGGGGCGGGGAGGGGCGGGTCCGCCTGGGCCGTGCTTTGCCTCCCCTTCAGGCGTGCTCCCGTCCAGGTATGTCGTAAGGTAAATCTCTCTCCTCTTCCCCCCCCCCTCGCTTCGCCCAAGCAAAAGGCGGCCTCCCGAGCAGCTGTGGGGCCAAAGAAAGAGGGACCGACCGACCCTGCCGGCTCTTTCCTCCCGTTCGCCTGCCAGCCCTTAACTCCGCCCTGGGGAGGGCTGTGGCGGCTCTTGCTGGGAAACCGCTCCTGTCGGGGTCCGGGCCCGTTCATGGTGGAGAACCTTTCGGAGTGGGAGTTTCCCGCCCCTTCCACTCGGCGGCCCGACCCTGCGAGACAGCCTCCGTGGGCGTTCAGACTTCTTCGCTTTGTTCGAGCCCCCTTCCCCCCTCCGGGCTTTTCCCGGCCGGCCGGCCCCCCACCCCGGCGTTGCAGCCCTGCTTGCTGAGGAAAAAGGCAAGGCAAGGCACGGACCTCCATGGCCGGAGAGTCGCCGCGCCGAGCAATCCAAACCCCGGGGCTTTTTGGCGCCTTAAGCCTCGGAGGCGGTCCAAGCAAAGAGCGATTGGTCGCTGCGTTGGCGCGGCGAGAAGCGCGCTTTGGCGCCCGGGGAACGGCGCTCCTCCCTCCCTCCTTCCTTCCTTCCCAGCCGGAGTTGCCGCGGAACCTCTCTCTTTCTCTGCGCGCGCCCAAAGGGCCTGCAGGACTGGTTTGGGTTAGTGAAGACCGCGAACTTGCCAAGGCTGGATTTCCGCCTGTAGGAATTTGACAATTTGCGGCCCTTTCCCGCCCCACCGTTGTCAGGGGCTCTGCTCTTTGCTGTAGTCGGACTTTCGTTGTCCTCAGGGTCTGGAACGGATGATGAGCGCCTTTGGAGCACAGGAAGAGCCCTCTTCCCTCACCGCTCCAGCGGCAGTCTTTTTTTTTTTTTTTTTAAGGAATCTGAAACTGCTTTTAGAGGAGGAGGCATAGAAATGCCACCAACTGAAGGAGGCCAGAACATAATTTCTGTATTTTTGTTACTGGAGTTAATAGCGGAGAAAAGAGCTTTGGGGGCTTTATTTCCCAGTCTCTCCAGCTTGCTTGCCTAACTTGCTTGTTTGGTGCGCCTCTTGGGGGGTGCGGGAACCTAGTGCCATCTTAAGCTTTGGGACAGACCTTTCTTGGCTCGGTCCCAGCACCCCCAAAATGAGGAGAGGGCTTTCCTAGGTGAAAGGGTGCAAGCGAAGTCCGGGACCTCTCTTTAGGACCCTCCAGATGGTTTTGGATTGCAGTTGTTTGGAGTCCCGTCTGCCCTCGCCACTGGTGAGGATCGATGGAGGTCCATCCCCAATAATATCTAGCGGGCAAAATGCTTTACTTTGCATCCCTCTTAAATGAATTAATCAGCTGCATGGGCCATAGATAAAGAAGTTGCTATGGCAACAGGTGCATATGAGCAAAGGTGCTGGGAGGTGGGGCTGTCATCCAATCAATTTTAAATTAAACCCTCACTTTTTCAGTCACTTACTCAATCCCTCACTTTGGTAGGACTGTTTTTTTCCTAGACAGCAGCTATATCCTAGAAAAGGATAAAATTCTTGCTAAAGGTTTTGGGAAATATGAGGTGGTTGCCCCAATATAAACAATGTCATTGAACGCACAAGGCTTGAAAGCATGAGATTTTGAACAAGAAATTGGTAAACAGAAGACATAACAGACTGTCAATGAAGGAATGAAAATTATAGAAATGTATTCTGGATACATCTTTGTGAAGGCAAGAGGAGAAGGGGATGACAGAGGACGAGATAGTTAGGCAGTATTGAAGCGACCAACATGAATTTGACCCAACTGGGGGGGAAGTGGAAGACAGGAGGGCCTGGCGTGCTCTGGTCCATGGGGTCACAAAGCAACTAAACTACTAAACAACAACATTCTGGATACATTTGAGGTTTTGTCCTTGAAGCAGAATAGCAGATTGTCAACCTTAAATGTAATAATATTGTCCTAATATAATTTTGTCCTCTTTTTTCCTAATTACAGAGTCACTATGCTTTTGAATACTGATCAGATAAACCTGATTGGACAAGTGTTTGAGTCATATATTTTGGAACATCACAAAAATGATATTTTGCAGATTTTGAGAGAAAAAGACGATGATGCTCATTACTCTGTGGTTGTGGATGCTCTGACACTTTTTGAGACCAACATGGAAATTGGAGACTATTTTAATGCATTTCCCAATGAAGTCCTGCCTATTTTTGATAATGCATTGCGGAGAGCAGCTCTCACAGTGTTTCAGTCAGTTTCCCAAGATCATGACTTCACCATTAAGCAGAATCTCCATGCCAGAATATCAGGTAAGTCATGTTTAATGACACTATGTGCAAGGCTTGGATGACATTGTGGAAAACTCTCTGGATTGTATCATTAAGCACCAGTGTAATTTCTTTCAAAGATACAGATTGTACTATAATCATACTATGTGCTCTGCCAAATGGTACATAGGGGAAAAATATATTGGGGTGGGCCCCCCAAGACCATTTTTCAGACTACCATGGAGCCTACCACAAATCTCTCACTGAGAGAAATAATAAAAAATAGGATTTTGCATGGAGGTGTCACCCTCCTAGGTCCCCAGAACCCTAACACTAGAAGTGGTCATCTAGTCATTTCTAATTTCCATTATCTTCCCAACTTTAAGCTATTTTGGGGTCTGATTTGGCCCATAGGGCAAAATACTATAGGCAACCATTTGGTCCCCATCTGCCAAAGTTCCCCATATTTAGTGTATAGTATAGTTATGGTATATAGCATAACCATACAATTATGGCCCATTAAAGGCTGACAAGTTTTATTTGCATTAATATTTGATGGACTGTAGCTCAGTTTTTAAAAAATTATACAGTGGTGCCTCGCTTAATGAGCGCACCGTTTAACGACTAATCTGCATAACGATGCATTTTTTGCAATCGCATTGCGATGTTTTAGGTGGCAAAACATCGCTTTGTGATGAGCGGTAAGTGTTTCGCTTACCGATCTTTGCATTGCGATGTTTAGAAAACAGCTGATCGGCGGCTCCAAAATGGCCGCCGGGGGCAGAAAATGGCCGCCCGCAGCATTTTCGCGCCCTGCCCTCGCTTACTGAGGCGGCTAAAATGGCGGCCAGATGGGGAATCTTCGCTTACCGGTGAGTTTCCCCCCCATAGGAACGCATTAAACGGAGTTTAACGCGTTCCTATGGGGTTTTACGTTCCGGATAGCGATGTTTCCGGATAGCGACGTTAATCCTGGAACGGATTAACGTCGCTATGCGAGGCACCATAAATTTAAAAAATTATTAGGCAGATATACATACTGGCCAGTATTATGTTGAGTTTGTGCTGTGAAATCAAGCCATTGCACAGACTAGCCTGCAGACGCTGCTGTTTGTCCAGCCCGTCCCTGTCCTTCCTTTGGTCAGGAAAACAGTCATGTGCCTGTTTTGAATGCTTGGTTCCACAACAGATGGCAAGTGAAGAGTGAGAAATTGCTATATTGTTGCCTTAATGCACAGTTTTTCCCAGTACGATTTTGGCGACTGTATATATTCAGCATGCTTATACTGTAGCATTATTATAATTAATAAATCGAACGTAGTATAGTTTTTGATTATTCCAGTGTAGGGAACTTCTTTCAGCCTGAGGAGGACTGAAACAAATGGCTCTGAAGGATGGGGCCACACCCAAATTGGATGAGGCTCCTCTCAGTATTGTCTGGCGTGTTTGTCCCTCATTCAGTCACACACGTACACAAAACCATATATGCATGCACAGAAACATGCAGTGTGGCTTTTGCCTACCCCTTGCCTTTTGTTGTTGTAGAAGTCAATGCTTTTACCCACTTTCTGCTTCTCCTGGCTAGGGAAGATGAGTCAAACCCTCTGAGCCAGTGTTTTGAGGAATTGCTGAGATCCAACATAGGAGAGTACGGTTTGGAAAAGGAGGCATCAACAAGAGGAATAGATTCATGGACTGCACTGAGAGGTTTCACAACCCATATTAGGCCTGTGGACCACACATTTTGCATGAGTGCAGGGTGAGGGAGCTGCTGGTTGGGCTTCTAGAAAGGACAAGGAGCAAATGTATTCTTCTCCCAACCATTCTGGAAAATATTCAAGATAGCTCATGGAATCTCCACATCACACAGAATCACACCCACATACATTTTACCAGCTTCTTCTATATTTTGTAGACTTCCTTCACTGCTCTCATTGACTGTAGCTTCTTTTTGCATTGCAAAGAACCCAGGTGGTTGGGATTCACCTGCAAAAGGGGAATGGCAGATTACTCCTGTTTAAAGGTTGCATGCAGTTTTCTTGCATTGGGTAAAAGCCATTGCTAAAAAGGAAGCCTTTGTTAGTGGCATTCTGTGGTTGATGGCATCATTCATGTAGGGCAGGCGGAGTTCTGTGGTAGGCTTTCAGTCAATTTCTGCCCAATGACCTCTTTATTTCTCCCTATATTCCAGGGTGGATTTGATTTAAATCATGATTTAAATTTAAAAAATTGGACATTTTGTTGACAATTTATAGTTTAAAAATCATTTTTGATTTAAATCATGATTTAAATCAATTTCGTGGGTTTTTTTTAAACTCATTGATTTTTATCCACCTTACTGTGTTCCTTTCCTTTCGTGACTCAGTGTCTTTGATCTTTTGTTTTGCAAAGGAAGGAGCCCTCTTAATTTCTTTGAATTCTTATGCATTTTACATTTGGGTACCAATTGTATGCTTATCTCATGCTGCATCTCACAGTCATGCCAAAAAGACGCACCCTAGCTCCTTAAAGTACTGTAGCTTCCTCTGGCTCGAGGTACATAAGCTGTCCTTTAAGAACACCACAGAGTTGAGCCTATTAATAGGGAAAAAAGGGTGCTGAAGGCAAAATTGCAAGAAAGCACAAAACTCTTTTTAATTTTTAGAAGACAGTTCTTTTTTTAATCAGTAATTATTTTGTTTTCTGACTATCAGATGAAGGGCTTTTGTTTTGTTCATGTTTCCTTTAATAGTGGATATCTTGTGGTCTACTCCTGTATAAATCAGTCAACTGAAATGTTTCCTCTAGTCCTATAAACTCCCAAGGAATGTGGGTGCTAGGCGTTTTGAAAGCTTGACATCTGTATCTGTTTAAATGGCTGACTGTAGAATGTTATAAGTGCTCATATTTTCCTTATTTGAGCTACCTGCAAGTATACACATACTTTCATGTCATGTCCTATGAAATTTCCAATGTTTATATAAACTCTCTAAGGTAGAAAGTATACCAGTATGTTTTTCTGATATAAATTGTGGGCATTTCAACATGGTGAATTAGTTGATAAATGTTTGCAGTTTTTTGTCTCATGAAACTTGAGATTCACTTAGGTACAGATATTTGTAAAATTGAACCACTGTAGTGGGTAGCTTCCTCTTCACACTGCATTTTACGGAAGTATTGAACTCTTCAGTTAACATGAAACAAGTGGTAGATACACATGTTCATATGTATGTGAAAAAAGCATTTCCCCTGGAAACCAGAACTTTGAAAAGTTACTTTTTGTTAGACTGCATCCAAAAATTAACATATTCTAAAAGTTGTGTTCCAAAAGGGAGAAAAATAACTTTTCCAAATTCTGCTGATTTTCTTATTTTTCTCTTCCATGAATTTACATCTGAGATCTCTATTGACACCCTTTGTCGTGGTGACATAATTAATGCTATGTTTTCCTTATAAGATGCTTGTTACATTTTTTTATGCGTTGATTTACCAGGTTTACCTGTTTGCCCGGAACTAACTAGAGAGCACATTCCCAAGACCAGAGATGTCGGACACTTCCTTTCGGTCACTGGCACAGTTATTCGTACCAGCCTAGTAAAGATCCTGGAGTTTGAACGGGACTACATGTGCAACAAGTGCAAGCATGTTTTTGTGGTGAAGGCTGACTTTGAACAGTACTACGCTTTCTGCCATCCATCAGTCTGTCCCAACAAAGAAGGATGCAACTCTTCTAAGTTCACTTGCCTCTCTGGAACATCCTTTGCTCCCAGCAGCTGCAGAGACTATCAAGAGCTCAAGATTCAGGAGCAGGTTTCAATTTTTTTAAAAAAATTTGTACCATGAATTTGCTGGGTCCTAATTTTGCTGAGGGGATTAATTAATGGATAAATGTCAACTTGAGTGAAAAGTCTTTTCAACATGATTTGCGCATTTTCTCATGGTTCTGCTTGATAAGAGTCTTCTTTCATGACTGAGAAATGGAAATGCACTTTTGTTTAACTAGGACTAAATCCAGCTTTATGCTTTCTTCCCCTCCTCCCCCTCCCCCGTTCAGCAGCCTTGCATGCTGCCTGAAACGCCCAGCCTTTCTGATCCCATTCTAGAGATGCACTAGGGGCTAAAGAGATTTTCCATTTTCCTAGGTCTGCTACATTCTCTCTTTGCACTTGCAGAAGCCCACCATTAAATTCTGCCTCTAGTATTGTACATTACTACATACCCATTTCATAGCTAATATCAATTAATCAAGCAGTATAATTATGGATCACTATTAACTATTGATCACTATTAATGTCAGCATTACAGAACTAGGATCTCATACTAGGGTTCACAGAAGATGACAAACAGTTCATTGAGCTGTTGGTAGTCAGTATACTTATTTGGATGGAACAGTACAGATCATTTTTATACAGTAGTTTGTTCTTTTATCTATGCAAGGGCGAACTTCAAATATGACTGATGAAATTGTACTGAATTTTCCCAGAAGCAATGTCCAATTCCCTCCTTCCTTTGCTATCACCCTGAGTGTTCCAGAGGGTCTTCCAGTACTCTGGAGCAGACTGAAGAGGGGAACCAGGGGAATAGATGAAAGGATCCTTTCTGTTTGTGGGAAAGAGAGAGGATTCTGGCTACAACCCAGTGTATATTTTCCCTATTATTTTCCTTTCGTGATGTAAACAATTTTGCTGCTCTCCTGAAAACTGTTACATTTAGATTGAATCTGTAAACAGCAACAGAATATCATTTCCACCTGCTTTTACAAAGACCTGCTTAATTTTGAATAGACAACAGTGCCTGAAGTGAAATGAAACATCCCATTAGGTGTGCTTTAAATAAACTATTAACGATAGCACTATTTCATATTGCTGTTCAATTGCTCTGTCTCTAGAGATAGAATTTTCTTCAATGTGTTTCTCTAATGCAGAAAAATAAACATTTCATGTTTTGTTTCCTTATGTTGCAAAATAAGGAATTCCCAAGCTGACTGTAGCCCTTTTTAGTTATTACCTAAGCATATAGCGCCTACACGCAAGGTTAGCCCAACCCAAAAAAAGTTTTGAGTTCTCTGTTACGTGGAGAATCTTACCTGAACAGAAAAGCCTTTTCCTTCAGACAGTTCCTTGTCTATGTTGAAACAGTAATGGAGTAGGGCTAGCACACCCTCCTCTACACGTACAGTATAGGCTTCACATGCTTAGGTAATAAGCTATTTTTAAAGCATGAAATTGATGTATGGGAGAATGGTGGCAACTGAGTGACAATTAAGGTTTTTTTCCCTAGAACCTCCCTCCTCCCCCACTATTAGATAACCCAGCCGGCATTGAATCACCTTCTTTTTTTTAAAAAAAAAAATAGACTGCATCAGCTAACAGTCTGACTGGCGGTACAGTCCTGTGCATACTGTTTAAAGAGCATGTCTTATTGAATACAGTGGGACCTCATCTGAATACATCTGCATAGGGATTGGAAAATGCTGTTGTAATATTTACTCTAAATCTCATCAGAGTGTAGAGTGCATAAAAATGGACATGGAGATAGGCACTTATGTGTAAGTCAAGCATCCTTTCCAGTGACTTGGCAAGAAAACGTTTACAAAAGGTGACTACAAATAGCCAACAAGCACTGTGTAAAAGCACGGTCTGGTAATGTCTGCTAAGTTGTTTGTATCCAGACTAAATCAATGTTCAAGCTTAAATTATCTGATAGCGTAAATTTCTTGTTGTCTAGGTTCAAAGGCTATCTGTTGGAAGTATTCCTCGTTCTATGATGGTTATTCTTGAAGATGACTTAGTTGATAGCTGCAAATCTGGTGAGCTCAGTTAAATTCTCTTGTAAAAATATATTCTTTTTAGAGCAGTGTGTTTGGAAAAGAAGAAAACAGACTAGTGTTTTTCTCAGTTTGTTACTTCTGAAGTCTTATCTAGTAGTATAAATGTATGTGTCATGCTATTTTGTTGCTGTTCAAATCATTGTAGTCATACAACTTGCAAATATCATTTATGATAAAACATCAAGTTGCATAATTTCTGTCTTTAAAATTTCTAAGCCCCAAGAAACTATGTATGGATGTCTTCATGTGGGCACCATAGTACAGTATAGCCCGGTCTATGCTAAAACATTTTGCTAAGATGTGTGTGCATATGTTCATGAAATGTTGACTCGCGTTAAAAAGCATAGTCTTTCATATCTCTTCTTATGCCTTGTTTATACTTTGGTTAATTAGTGGTTTCAGTGTTAGTTTATGACTGTTAAAATCCACTTTATACGGAATGCTTTTCAGGTTTATCTGTTAAATAGATGTATGCAGACAAAACTAGATACAGTGGTGCCTCGCTTAGCGATTGCTCCATTTAGCGACGAAATTGCTTAGCAACGCTGTTTTTGCGATCGCAAAAGTGATCTCTTTGCGATGTTCTCTATGGAGTATTTTCGCTTTGAGATGATCGCAGGGAAGCTATCATCGCAAAGCCCCATTTTCACAGCTGATTGGCGGTTTCAAAATGGCCGCCGGGAAAAAACATGGCCGCCCACTGTGTTTAGGGACGGATTCCTCGCTTTAGAGGCACCGAAAATGGTGGCGTTATGGAGGATCTTCACTCAACAGTGAGTTTTAAGCCCATAGGAACGCATTGAAGGGGTTTCAATGCATTTCTATGGGCTTTTTAATATCGCATAGCAACGTTTTCGTTCTGCAGCGATTTTTGCGGAAGGAATTAACGTCGCTAAGTGAGGCACCACTGTATTAAATGAAGGAGGAGTCTGAGATCTGTCACTGAGCACATGATTTGCCTGTGGAAAATCCCATGCTTGAGATGCAACTTTTAGGCCACTCTGGAAGCTTGGAAAGGCAGAGCCAGATGGCCTAGAGAGGTTTCCTGTTCAGACTGTCCTGTTTTTAATATAATTGTTACTGTTCTTGTTTTTATTTTCAGGTGATGACATAACTGTCTATGGAGTAGTAATGCAGAGGTGGAAACCCTTTCACCAAGGTTCACGCTGTGATGTAGAAATAGTCTTGAAGGCCAATTATGTCCAAGTAAACAATGAACAGATGGCAGGAATTTTAATTGATGAAGAGGTCCGCAAAGAATTTGAAGATTTTTGGAAAAAATATAGGCATGATCCCTTAGAAGGTTGGCAGACATAATAAATTTGTGCACAGCTGTTGGTGGATGATATAAACGCCAGTGCCCCTGTTTTGTCCCTTGCCCTGACTCTACTATGTTCTGAGTTGCCTGGAGTGTGTGGTGAATCAACTGTTTCACTAATTAATGCCTAAATGTTTAATATCTGCCCAAATACAACAGATCTTTACAGAACCTTTGCAGTGTTCATCCTCCTGCGGTGGGGTTCCTTTGGCCCTCCAGTTGTTTTGACTGTCAGTTCCCAGAAATGCCAGTGAGTATGGGCAGTGGTTAGGAAACTGTGAAAATTGCTGCCAAATATACGATACAGTGCTCTGGATGCATCACGGTGACACTGATCATTTGAAGGCATTTCATTTGGATATTTAGACTGAGTAAAGGCACTCGGACTGCTTTGGCCACAGTTTTCATGTGACCCTTTTTGGCTGTCAAATGGTAGCCTTCTGGACTTCCTCATTGGACTGTCCTTTGGCAGCATTGTATTGCGGTAGCTTTCATCTTCACTGTCACACCCAGAGGGTGGTACAGGGGTGCCACTGATTAACACTTTCCTATTTGGTGTCCTTCACTGTTCTGTTCCCTCCTCTGGGTTATTCAATGTCTATGTAGCGTAAGATCATTTGCTTCCTTGTGAAGTGTTATCATTACCCTGGTGTCACTCAGCTCTATTGCTCTGTGTCACCTAGCATCAGAAAGGCAGTTAAAACTCTTGAATGTTGCCCATTGTGGAATATCCAGTAATGGGCTGGATGGAGTGAACAAGTTTAAATTAAATCATGACAATTTATGCTGCCGGTCAGTAGAGTGTCTGTCTTTGGGTTTGTAGCTAAATTTGTTCTAAAAGCTGTTGTGCTTTCTTGAAAGATTAGGTCTATAATCTGCAAGTACTTCATGACCCTGTGGTCTCCTGTAAAGGAATTAACAAATAGTTAACCATTTTATGGGTTGCTTCAGTCATCCATCTTTCCTTTTGACAAAAGAAATAGCCTTGTTGCATTCTTCTTTGGCAATATATCTGGTTTCAATCCCCAGTTATTCTAGTACATAGTCAGTTGAGTTTAATAGTGCAAATCTGTCCTTTATTTGGACTTTGAACTCATCAGAAATGTTATGTAAATATAGTTAGGCAGTATGATCATTTTAGTGTTCATTCTCCATTTACTCTAATGTTTGATATTAACAGTTTGTGGTCAGTATCACAATCTGTTTGGGCCCTGTTTTGGCAGGAAGGATGCACCTCCTCTGTCTATTAATTACAATTCTATAGTCTATTTGGTTTTTATATCGACCATCTGGTGATGTCCATGTGTTGGATTGCCTGAAGTATGTATTAAATACATTGAATTAATGTGTTTAATAGAATTAATGTGTTTAATAGAATTAAACACATTGTTGGCTTCACAAAATTCTATGTCTTGTCCTCCTGCTTCGTTACTGTTTCGTACGCCAAATTCTCCAACAAGATTTGGTTCTGCTTTGTTTCTTACTTTTGCATTCCAGTCACCTACGATTATCAGTCTATCTTGTTTTGGTGTGTGGCAGGCCCTGGGAGAAAACATTTGAGATCTGTCTTGTTTTGGTGTGTGATCTTTTCCAAGTTTCTTGGGCTAATAAGGCTGGTGGCAGGCCCTGGGAGAAAACATTTGAGACACACACACGCCGCCACCCTGTCTCCCAATCCAACAGAATGGTCCATTCCAACGTAAAGGAATGGAGGAGGTTTTTACTAATAGGAGAAATCTCTACATGTAGTTTAAAAACATCTGGAGGACATGATTTATGAAGCTCTTTATGCATGTAAATCTCCATTGTATCATCAGCTGATGAAATGTGCTGAATCTGAGGTGTTGTCTTTAAGCATGATGTGAAATCATGCCAGATAAATGGCAGCTTGAACATTCATGGCCAGCTTGGTTAGTTTAATCGTAGCAGATAAATAGTAAATTAGGAAATCAGCATATTTGCTTGGGAAATACTTATTTTCCAATGAATGTTGTCTGACAGCTGTATGGATTTTTTTTTCCCTTGCTTGTTTCCAGGGAGAAATGAAATTTTAGCAAGCATGTGCCCTCAGATTTTTGGGTTGTATCTTGTGAAGCTGGCTGTAGCCATGGTGCTTGCAGGGGGTGTGCAGAGAACAGATGCTGCAGGCACGCGAGTTAGAGGTTAGTACATAAAACTTAGTTTTCATCATGGTCACATTCAAGTTTTAATGCTTACTTACAAGGCCCTAAACGGTTTAGGACCTCGATATTTGGCGGAACGCCTACTCCCACCAAGGTCTACCCGGATCACCCGCGCGATTTAGGAGGTGAGACTGAGGAGCCTGACGCTGAGAGAGGCCCGGAAGGAGAGAACACGAAACCGGGCCTTCTCGGCAGTGGCTCCTCGCCTCTGGAACAAACTCCCTCCGGAGATTCGCGCGGCCCCTACACTGGGCATCTTTAAAACCCAATTAAAAACTTGGCTATTCATTCAGGCCTTCCCTCCAGCCAACTCCTGATTTTTTCTTTTTATGTTCTTACTTCTTATTTTATTGTAGTTGTTGTTGTATTATTATATATCTGCTCGTTTTTATTGTTTGATCTTATATTGGAATCCGCCTAGAGTGGTCCGGTGGACCAGATAGGCGGGGTACAAATTGCAGGGGGTGTGCAGAGAACAGATGCTGCAGGCACGCGAGTTAGAGGTTAGTACATAAAACTTAGTTTTCATCATGGTCACATACAATAATGGGTATTTGCTCTTTATTGCTATGTTTGTAAGATACTGGCCTCCAGTGCAGTACCATTTTCAAAGCAGAAGAGGCACCAAGGAATAACTTCTTCTCCCTGTTCACTTAGTAAAAAACACCTCTTAAATGTCCTCATGTAAAATTACAAGTTATCCTGAAGAAACTAGTTTTTTTTATAAATCAAGTCATGTTCTTATAAGACAAGGAAACAATAAACTAAGTCAGCATTTATGAGCAAAATTAACACAAAAATATGAAATATTACTTACCATTCCTATTTTTAAAACCAATATGTGCTTTGAATGGAAATGCGAGTGCTTTTAATAAATGGTGAATATTTTATTATAATGTGAAAAATAAAAAAGTTAGCTTCCATCTTGACATTAATGTTCATTAAAACGGATTTACTCCTTTGTTATTTCCTTTAACTTTCATGTTTCAGATTCTGACATTTTTGTTTCCCCAAGTCATGTTCTTGTAGAATCTACAGTATACACAACTGGACCTACAATGTAGTCTTTTTTAACACTGTCACATAGGTAATATTTGCCCCTCAAGTTTCAGCCAGTTGCCATGTGCAGTTGCTTTTTAAAATAAATTTAAAATATGGGGAAAATGTCCCAACCAATCTGTTGATTTTTGCCATTGAGTTACTGTCCCACCTGTTGTAACATATTGGGACAAAAAGTGTCCCATGTCATTTTTTGTGAACTACGTCACAGAGAACCATAAGTGACAATGGCCTTGTCATTTATTAATTTTTATTTATTTGATTTATATCCCGCCTATCTGGACCCACCGGACCACTCTAGGCGGCTAGAGTGTCATTATGTTGACCCCCTTCATGAGCCTACTAGAATTGTCATTCCTATGCAGAAATACCAGAAGTGTATATGACACCTGACTCTCAATACACTGTAGTTGTCATTGGAGTCAGAAAGCAGTCGCCAAATTGCTCAGTGGCTAAAATCCTGTTCTGTAAATTATGCCTAAGATTGATGATTTCACCAACAAGGAGGGATTGCCAGTAAACTAAAGAGTTCCTGCTTCTATCTCATGTCTTGTCCAACTTGCATGTAATCAGTCTAGTTGTATATGAATCAGGCAAGATCCAGAATGAAAGCAGGAGTAGTTAGACTACCTAGCACGAACTCTTTAATTAGATCACAGGTCTGGATGGAATTGGCTAGAGTGAAAGACAAGCAGCTACTCAGGGCTGTACAGGTTTGTCTCATAGAAGGTTTAAAAAAAACCCCAGAAGCAACACCATCATTGTCAGCCTCCTAGAACTAGATCTGCAGTTCAAGCATCAGATCAAAAAAGATAAAGGGCCTTGTAGTTATATCTAGAAGAGATTATCTTACTGCCACCTCCCGCAAAAAGGCACAGGATAAGAAAACGCCGAAGAATTTAAGAGAAAATGGGATATGATTCATAGAATAATGGAGTTGGAAGGATCTGCTGGATCAAACTCAGTTTTGTGACGAAGCATATGTCAAATAAAATGCTAAAGTGCTACAAGACCTTTTTTTGCTGCAGTTGACTAGCAGTGTTTTAGTGGGGGCAGTGTCAGATTTCTGATGTTTATTCTTAGTGCTTTTCATCTCATATCTACTCTTTAGAAATCATTTGTACTTTTTTTTCTCTGCAAGGTGAGTCTCATCTTTTACTAGTTGGAGACCCTGGAACAGGAAAATCTCAGTTTCTGAAATATGCAGTAAAGATTACCCCAAGATCTGTACTTACAGCAGGAATTGGATCTACAAGTGCAGGTAAATGAGGATACTTACAATCAGGTAGGTGGGTGGGAGCCAAGCTTCCCAATCAGCATTTGGGGGGGCCGACTGATAATTTTGTTCCAAGTGTTTTATTTCAAGAGTAGAGCAGAGCCAGTAGTTACCATCTGAAAATTTTGCCATGGTCCAGAGCCATTGTGTTATCCTCCACCGATGTGTGGCCCACTGGCATCCTTTTGTGGTTTTTTTCTAGTTATTGTCACCCTGCTCCCTTTGGCCTGTGCCCCACCTGCATGCAGCTCTCCGCTCTCACTTCTACCCTACATTATAAAGCCTAAGCCGCCCAGCCACTTCCCACTCTGCAGTTGTCATCTGCTATACCACAAACACTCCTTGGTTGCAAATGCAGAATGGGGGATGCAAAGCCATTAGCAGTGTCAGTCCATGTGTTTTAACTGAGTCTCAATTTGTATCTGATGTACATTTTTACCATGTACTCTGTTAGCCAACTTGTAACTAGTCGCTGAATAAGAAAACCAAGCATTCAATGGGAACCAAGAGGTGGGCTTGAATCCCACTGTAAGTCGAACTTACCTCTGTGTGGCAAAATAGACCCTTCTATTCCTAAGGTATGGCCAGTAGTAAAAAGCATGCTTGATATAATAGAGATCTTGACTGCAGAAGGAGGTTGGAATGTCGCTTCTAGTCAGACAGGACTAAACTGGATAGATGGTTGATGTTGTGGGATAAAGCCATTTCTCGTGCTTACTGGATACCACATGCAAGGGAACCTTTTAAGAGATTTCAACTCAGTTTTGTTTTGGAGTTTAAGATGGTGGTGGGCAACCTGTCTGCTGCTGGGCTTCAACTCTCATCAGCCCTAGTCAGGATTGTGGTAAGGAACCGTGGGGGGTACAGTTCACTATTGTCATCCACCTTCTGGTGTGTGTCATAAGCTGCCTGTCTCTGCTTTAAAAGGAGCTTAGCCTTGCACATTCTTTCTTTCCTAGAATAGCCTGGAAAGGGCAGTTCCTTCCAGCAGAATTCAGAGAAGGTCTGTGTTGTTCGACTGTAGCTTGTAACCACCAGCCTTAGATAGCATAGCCAGTGATGAGAAATGCTGGGAGCTGCAGTTCAGTAATATCTGGAGGGCTGCACTTCGCTCACTTCTGCATCTGAATTCCCTTCTTCTTCCAGTAAGCATGTTTTTCTCCCAGGTCTCATCCTGCCTTTGATAAAAGATGACCATTTTAAGAGCTGTGTGCCTACTACAGGAATCCTAGAGCTTAACACTGTAGAAATCCTAGAGCTTAATTTTTCCCCCCTATTCTCAGACCTTGCGTTCCTTGCCACAGAAAGAGAGAACAGGGCAAAACACAAAATAAACCTTAGACAAGAAATATCATTGGATCTAGAGTAAATGGACTTGAATGCCAGAATTTTCCTGTGAAGGAGAAGCGCACCTTTGTAAGTACATTGCTTTGGAGCAGAAAAGGGCACGCAGTTCAGTCTTCCCACCATAGGAGTCGTCGTCTTTCACTATTACCTAAAAAGCAGTGGCCATTATCCTACACATAGTCCAACAGTGAAGAAATGCAAAACCAGATCCCATGGAGGTCCTGGGAGCTACAAAACAGCCAAGCATTCCTTGCATGCAGGACCAAAAAAAATTGGAAAAGCATGATAGGAACTTGGTGTGCACAAAAAGTGTGCACTATTTGACCACAAAAAGGCTGAGCAACATGCAAAACAGTGGTGTTTCATCCCAGGAATTCTCAATCCCAGCTGATTAAAGCATCCCTTCTCCAGGCAGCCCAGGAAGGGTTGTTTAAAGACAGAAATGCAAAAGGTATATCCCAAGGGAAAGAATTCTTGGGGATGTCGACCCATTACTAGAGTTCTTCAAATTAGAAATTAGCAAATTCTTCTCCACAAGAACCAAGAAGTTCTGTTGATTATATGGATGTCTCTGTGACTGCCATAATCACCATGAGAGTAGTGCCAAAGGACTGGAATAACTTGCCTTGGTCGGAAGCAACCAGACTTGTGATCTAGCTATCAGACGGTCATTGACTCTATTTGCCATCGCATCCTGCAAAGGCAAACATCTTGAGGGCGTACCTTCTTAAAAAGAGCAAGCACCATGGGGAGAGTATCTACGAAAAAGGCAAAAAGCTACCACCTTCATCTCGGAGGCTACCCTTGGGCTTCTTTACTAAACTGTAACTTCAACCATCATGGCATAAGGTAGCCATTAGCTCTAGAACTGGTCAGCAGATTTTGCATAAGAACACAACGTAAACCCTAGGAGACAAGCTTATCAGGGAAGAGACTAAAGACGTTCTTGTTGAAAGGAAATAGAAGGCAGCACTCTCAGCTACCCTGCCGTACAGCATATATTTCTGTTACTAAAACAGAACACTTCCTTAGGGAGTAGATGACATTCTTGCAGCCTTAGTGAAAACAAATACTGAGCAGTAATCAAAAGCAACATAACAACTGAGACCACGCAGTCACACTGGAGAGGGAGGCACAGATAACAGAAGATATTCGTGGCTTTGTCACATCATGTTACAGGCTAAGAAAAATAATCAGCTAGGGATGACAATATTTAACTCAAACTCTCTCACTTCCCATGTTCTGTTCTTCTCAGCTAGCAGGAGGACCTCTGCCTAGTTAATCACCACCTTTTGGGCAATACAGTGCGCCATGATTTCCCGCTCTTGCCCAAAATAATTGAATAGTACGAACTGTGTATTTAAAACCGTACTTATTTACATCCTAGCCACAACTTCGACTTCAGGTGTTTAGGTTCTGTTTATCACCTTTCATCAGACAGTTCAAAGCCAAAGAGGTCCAATGTGAAACAAAACTTTTGGCTTAAGGAATTATTAATCATATAGGGCTGATGTTCTTAAAATGGTAGCCTTCTGTCACAACATTCTGCAGCATGCCACTAACAGTAAGGGGAAATCCATCTTTGACTGCAGCCAGAGACATACCAAGCCTTTTGTCTCTGGTGGTAATGTGCGAGAGGTGGTGGAACACATAGAACATGCTCCCCTGTCCAACCTATTGCAGAGACAACATGCTGTCACAAACATTCCCTTTCTAAGCATGGCTGCTCTTCCAGTAACTAGCAACTACCTCCCCCAGGCGTTCCAGGGCTAGGTTGGCACCCAGGTGTGAAGCACCACTGGTGGCTCTCATTTAAGTGTGATGGCTACTGTACTTCATAAAAATGGAGACAGAAGGACAGCTTGCCTGGCTATGTAACCCCTCCCATACAAGTTCTGAGAGCCAATAGCTAGAGGACCAGAGAGAGAAGTAGCTGCTGACAACCTACAATTTCCTAAGTTTAGTGAGTCTAGTCTTGCAAGACTTTGACCAGCTTCTGGGAACACCAGCAATTCTCTATTGAGTAGTAAAGGAGTTTGGGACAGTCCTGGCCACTGCTGTGCACAGTACTTGTTCCAAATTTGAGCATAAATGGATGCATCTTAAAAGGCCATTTTCAGATAGTATCCTTTATTTTCTTCTTTTCTAATCTGGTCTATACAGTGGGGTCTCTACTTAAGAACTTAATCCGTATTGGAAGGTGGTTCTCAAGTTGAAAAGTTCTTATGTTGAATCTGCATTTCCCATAGGAATGCATTGAAAATCATTTAATCCGTATCTGCTCTTTTCCGTCCATAGAAACTACAGTGGAACCTCTACTTAAGAACTTAATCCATTTTGGAATGGTGTTCTTAAGTTGAAACGTTCTTAAGTTGAAGCAAAATTTCCCATAGGAATGGACTGAAAACCAATTAATCCGTTCTGGCTGTTTTTTTGTTATGTAGAGGTGCTAGAGGACCAGAGAGAGAAGTAGCTGCTGACAACCTACAATTTCCTAAGTTTAGTGAGTCTAGTCTTGCAAGACTTCGACCAGCTTCTGGTAACACCAGCAATTCTCTATTGAGTAGTAAAGGAGTTTGGGACAGTCCTGGCCACTGCTGTGCACGTGTCCAAATTTGTGCACAAATGGATGCATCTTAAAAGGACATTTTCAGATAGTATCCTTTTTTTTTTCTAATCTGGTCTGTACATATATTTGAAGACTACCCATTATAAATAGATTCAGCTTTTTGTTCCCTCCTCCCCTGCTATTTGCATCTTCTGGGGATGGAATTTTGTACATTTCAATAACAGGTTTGGTGTGGATTAAACAAAGCCTTAGAATTATTTAAAAAATAGTTTTATTTATACAGCCACTCAAATACTTTTTGTCCTTATAAACTTTCTACAGGATGTGGGGTGTTTTGTTTTAAACAAATTTTTCACATTTTGTTGAGTATGTGGTTTCAAGGAAACAGGTTCTTGTGGTGGTTGTGTTGTGTGTCTCTCTTAGCTTGAACACATACGTAGTATTGAAGGGTAGCTGGTCACATGCAGTCCATATGAGATTCCAACATAACATTTAGTGAATTTTCTGATGTTGACCATCCTTTTGAAGCAGAAGGCAGTGCGTCTGTAGAAAGGAGTGATTGAAGGTTTGGGTTGCTGCCCTCTGCATCTGTCAGTTTTTCTGTGTTGTCCTCCCAGTTAATGTGGAATCTTGTGACTCTGGGATTAGATGCCAAAATATTCCTTTGGAGCTGGAATACAACAATATGAATGAGTATTTAGGATTTTTAATAACTGAAAATTAAGTCAAGAGATTGGCAAAATGTTTACATGTTAACATTTTACACGTCAAAAACAACTACATTTACACAGGTTTATCACCCCCCCTGCTCTTATGATGGAGCAAGTAGAAAAGGGATCAATCTTGTACAAATGTTGGTGGCAAAGAAGCGTAATGGGATGCCCCCTTACCACCAGCTTTAGTCCTATCCACGGCTAACATGCAGACCCCAAAAGATTACTCCTCTCTCCAGAATCGGGTCCTCAGCAAGAAAACGTCCCCTATCTCTGCTGTAAAATGCTCCTTTCTTCTGTGCCCCTTATTTTCAGACCTTGTGATCCAGACCTTCCATTCAGTGTTAAGTTTCCATGTACATTTTAGTCTGTAGTTCAGATTTCTGCAGTTGGTTACTTAAACAGGCTACAGTGTATGAACTCACACCACATGCAACTGTTGTAACTAATGATGAAAGAACTCTGTTGGAGCTTAATGTGACCTAACCATCTGAACAAATCAGTATTTTCCAGACTGACATATCATTTCAGTTATGTCACCAGTTACATGCAAGCAACATCACCACAAGAACTGCAGAGCTAGAAGGGACCCTGTGGATCATTGAATCCAATCCCTATCAGTGGAGAACTGGACTCCCAACCTCTTGCTTAACAGCCAGATACCTAAACCACTGAGCTATCCTGCTGTATGCAGTCAGCTTAAACTTATAATATAAATATTTACATTTCCACAATTTAAAAATTGTCTACATCAGTGCCAGCATTTTGATCATCAGCACACATCATATTAAATGAAATCCACGCGGACTGACTAATGCACTCTTGCTTGAAGCAAACGAAATGAACATAACTAATAGAGACTAATTGTTCTAACAGATTTGGACATTTTTGTTTTGCTAGCTGAAACGCTGTGGCAAACCTTGGGGCTCTAACAAAGAGAACAACCCTTCATTATAAGCTGTCCTCAGTTGAATTTCTGAAAAACAAAAACCTGCATGGCAATCAATCCCTAGGAAACCTAAAGATTTAACAAACTTACTCCATAACCATAGCTCCTCACTGACTTCTGTTCTATCATCTCCCTTTTAATTTATAGAACAATTCAAAGTGGCATACAAACATTTTTTAAAAAACAGGAAAGCACATCTTTGTTAGTGGGGATATATTGTGCTGACACTATCAAAGAAATGCTGTTCTCTACATATAAACAGTAATATCTGTTCATGCATCCTTGGGTTGAACCTAACATTAATTCAGGAGCTCTGGGCCTGATCTCAAACTCATACTGAACACTGGCTGCACAACAGAATAACACTCATTGTGACACTTTGCCTAGCTGAGAGTGACAAACAAAAGACAGGGGTTTTACATGTCAAGAGCAACAAGGCAATGTTGCTTCCCAGCACTGGTGTATACAGTGGATATAAAAAGTTTACACACCCCTGTTAAAATGTCAAAGATAAATCATTTCAGAACTTTTTCTGCCTTTAATGAGACCTATGAACTGTACAACTCAGTTGAACAACAAACTGAAATCTTTTAGGTGGAAGGAAGTAAAAATAAAAAACTGAAATAATATGCTTGCATCTGTGTGCACACCCTCTTATAACTGGGGATATAGCTGTGTTCAGCAGTAAACAATCACATTCAAACTCATGTTAAGTAGGAGTCAGTACACACCTGCCATCATTTAAAGTGCCTCTGAGGAATCCTAAATAAAGATCAGCTGTGCTAGTAGGTCTTTCCTGACATTTTCTTAGTCACATCCTACAGCAGAAGCCATGGTCCACAGAGAGCTTCCAAAGCATCAGAGGGATCTCATTGTTAAAAAGGTATCAGTCAGGAGAAGGGCATAAAAGCATTAGATATACCATGGAACACAGTGAAGACATCATCAAGTGGAGAAAATATGGCACAACAGTGACATTACCAAGAACTGGACCTCCCTGCAAAAGTGATGAAAAGACTAGAAGAAAATTGGTCAGGGAGGCTGCCAAGATGCCTACAGGAGGCTGTAGGAATATCTGGCAAGTACTAGCTGTGTGGTACATGTGACAACTATCTCCTATATTCTTCATACGGCTGGGTTATGGGGTAAAGTGGCAAGATAGAAGACTTATCTTACAAAGAAAAACATCCAGGCCCGGCTAAATTTTGCAATAACACATCTGAAGTCTCCCAAAAGCATGTGGGGAAAAGTGTTATGGACTGATGAAACCAAGGTTGAACTTTCCGACCATAATTCCAAAAGATCTGTTTGGTGCAAAAACAACACTGAGCATTACCAAAAGAACACCATAATCACAGTGAAGCATGGTGGTGGCAGCATCATGCTTTGGGGCTGTTTTTCTTCAGCTGGGACAGGGACCTTAGTGAAGCTAGAGGGAATTATGAACAGTTCCAAATACCAGTCCATATTGGCACAAAACCTTCAGGCTTCTGCTTGAAAGCGGAACATGAGGAGGAACTTCATCTTTCAGCATGACAACAACCCAACACATACATCCAAATCAACAAAGGAATGGCTTCACCAGAAGAAGATTAACGTTTTAGAATGGCCCAGCCAGAGCCCAGACCTGAATGTGATTGAATATCTGTGGGGTGATCCGAAGAGGGCTGTGCATAGGAGACACCCTTGCAATCTGACAGATTTGGAGAGTTTTGGCAAAGAAGAGTGGGCAAATATTGCCAAATCAAGATGTGCCATACTGATAGACTCAAACCCAAAAAGGCTGAGTGCTGTAATAAAATCAAAAGGTGCTTCAACAAAGTATTACTTTAAGGGTGTGTAACCATATTGTTTCAGTTTTTTTATTTTTACTTCCCTCTACCTAAAAGATTTCAGTTTGTTGTTCAACTGAGTTGCGCAGTTCATAGGTCTCATTAAAGGTGGAAAAATGACTTATATTTATCTCACTTTTTTACATCACAGACACTTGACATTTTAACAGGGATTTGTAAACTTTATATCCACTGTATATACAGAAGTGGGCAGCATTTAATTAAAAAAATAAATGCAAGCTTGAGGTCCACCAACCATGGCTAGATCCAAAACAGTGTCTAAAGGAAAAAGATGCAAATGAGTATATGCCCAGGAGCTCTGTAAATCAGTACTAGACCCAGGATTATTATTTATATATCATCCCACTAGTGCTCTGCACTATTCTGGGCAGTTAACACACAACAAAAATCACACAGAACAAAACACCAGCAAAATTCATGAAAATCAATCATGTCTAATTTAAAATCAGAATGATGCAGCATTTTCATAACAAATTGACAAGACAAGAGAAAAATGCTTATGAGGTTGCAGTTGAAAGCCTCTCTCTGAAGAGCAGCATCTTCAGCAGCCTCTTAAAGAAGGTGGGTGAGGAGGGCCCCCCGATGCAGCTCAACTGGGAGCTGGTTCCAGGGGATAGGTGCCATAACCAAGAAGGCCCAGTTTTCCTGGCTTTTTTTGTGGACATTTGGAGGAGCACTGCCTGGGAAGATCACGTTTTCTTCCACAAAAAAATACACCACTGTACATTAATGGAAACATTCCCACAACTATTCTTTTCAGCAAGGTCATTTTAAAAGTGGGATGCTTTTTAACTATTGCCCAGTTGGACAATCAGGAATTAAAACCTTTTCCGAGTCTTCCTCCTCACTCAGGCATCTACTATTAGATCCAGATACACCTTCTGCTGGCCCCTGTATCAAGGAGCAAGTTGTCATAGTAACTGATGAAAAAAGAAGAATGCAAAATATAGTATTACTGCATAACAATAACACAAGGCTATTTCAGATCGTTAGACTTTCATTACCTCTCCATTTTCTCAACTCTGATCACCTATTTCTTTTTAACTTCTGGCTTGCTAATTGTTTTCTGTTACTTTAGTATTTTAACTGAGGTTAACAGAAAAAGCAATGCATGGCACAAAGTATGGTGTGTGTCTTACCTTAGAAAAGTCTGGCTTTACTGGAGGATTTTCTCTCAACTCTGTTTCAGTATATTCATTGTTCACGTAATAACCAACTCTAATGAATTCTTGACCTCTGTAAGTGCAGGTAATTAACACAACTGTTACTCCTACAGCATCTGCATCAGGAATAAGTCCTGGATTAGGAGCATCTGCCTACAACAAAAAGTAAAACAGAATTAGAATAGGATTAATTTATCTTTTCAAGCCCCTTAAAAGGAAATAAATCATGATGTATCTCTAGATATTGAACTTAACTCTTGCCATATAAACTAAGAAGACAAAATATTCAAACAGAAACAATTGTTTGCTGTTTCAAATCAAGTATCAGTTTTAAATAATTAAAATGCTACGTTGAGATTAGTTATTCTCCAAGATCAATCTTTCTGATTGTTTCAAATTTATGAAAGGCTAATTTTGCCTATGGGATTCCTTAGTAAAACAATTCTTTGGTAAAACAACAAAGTAAATGTATGCCCATACTTCGCATACAATCTAATTCTTCACGCAAAAGTGCATAAATACTGTATGTATTGGCTCACAAGCAACATTCCCCCAAAGTTTCTGTCCTGCTGCACAGCAGCCTGAAGTAAATGTACGCCCATACTTTGCATACAATCTAATTCTTCACGCAAAAGGTTTTGAAAGCTGGATGGATCCACCCAGCTATTTATCTATATACATACCCATCTCACAATATAGTGCATAAATACTGTATGCATTGGCTCACAAGCAACATTCCCTCAAAGTTTCTGTCCTGCTGCACAGCAGCCTCACTCCATGTGCATGGGTGGGGCTTCATTTGAAATGAGAAGTAAACAAGCCAGCTGCATGTGCACAACCCTGATGGAACTCTGAGCAAGCACACACATACACATAACTTAGAGGGAACACTGCTCACAAGTCAAGTCATGTTCAGCTAACCTCACAACATTAGAGATCAACTGTCCAAATGATATAAAACATTTATATTACACTTAAACATAGAATAGCATCCTTTGTGGCGTTCAATATCCACTTAAGATACATTGGGGAAATCATGTAAATTTAAAACATCTCTTCATAGGTTAAAACAATTCAGCTAAAAATTAACTGGAGTTGCTCTTGAATAACAAATTTTCTGAAGAGTTCTAACTTCTAGTCTTTTAAAGCAAACCATGGAATCCCTTTATACCTACCTTAACATCAATGCAGACCAGTAAAGTTTCCTCTCCATGGTTTACATATTGAGCAAGTAACAACTACAACCCTGAAGGCTACTACTTCAGATGAATGCAGCCTCAGTACATGATTGTTCAGATAGAAGCTTTTATGTACAGTGGTGCCTCACATTACGATCGCTTCGTTTAACGATAAAATCGCATTACGATGAACTTTTTGCAATTGCAAAACGATGTTTCCTATGGGGGAATTTCGCTTTGCGATGATCGGTTCCCTGCTTCGGGAACCGATTCTTTGCAAAACGACAATTTTCCAACAGCTGATTGGCGGTTTCAAAATGGCCGCTGGGTAAATAAAATGGCTCCCCGCTGTGTTTAGGGACAGATTCCTTGCAAGACAGGCAGCAAAAATGGCCGACCTATGGAGGATCTTCGCTAGACGGTGAATTTTAAGCCCGTCGGAACACATTAAACAGGTTTTAATGCGTTTCTATGGGCTTTTTAATTTTGGTTTACAATGTTTTTGTAATGTGAGGCACCACTGTACATTGAATGGGAACATTTTCAACATAGTTGGATTCCCCATCTTTGTAAAGGCTTATATAAAGAGAATACGAATGCTTCTTCTGAGTAAGAATGTAATCCGTGCTGTTATGGGCAACCAACATGTTTTTCTAAAGCCCAGTTACCTACCAGTTAACAAGAACTTTTGTAGCTATACTCAGAAAATTTGAGGAAATCGTATTACAAGCAGTGTGTTCCACCTAGCTTTACTGGCACCATATTGACAAACAAACAAGCCATGTTGTTGGGTTTAGGAACCAAATATGCACCATAGTTTTCCCAAATGTCATTTTTGCAAACAGTGAGTAGCTTCTATGACTTCATATGCTTTCTTTTTTTTCTGAAGCAATCCTTCTGATACAAACTATCAGAGAACCTACTCCCACAGGCAGACGCATCCTTTCTCACTTAACCCATCAATACAGGGCTGTATTTAGATGGGAAAGCAGGTACATTGACGGATTACAGGGAAGTCTCATCAAAACAGTTCTGTAAGTAAAAAAAATCTCTAAAGTGAGAAAAGTGCTAAGTAAAGAATTCACACGTGTGGCTTACACAGTTCCTGTTTGTTAAAATCATGACCACATTTGTCCTTTAGAGCCATGGTCCCCAACCTTGGGCCTCCAGATGTTCTTGGACTGAAATAAACCAGGTATCATATGCAAATAAATGACCCTTTGGCAGAAGAGTGTTTTATGTCGTTTTAATTTACCAAGAGATCTTGTGTAGCTGGTTGAATTGGAACCTGCTACCTGGCAACAGAAGCGGTTTAGCCCACAGCGCCACCAAGGCCCGTATAAGATGGCTGAATATTTTCATATTTTTAGGTTCTAATACATTCTGTGCCCATTTTGGCCCCACAAGAAGCCTCTCAAAAGCAGCACAGAAAATTATCAAAAATTTTAAAAAAATCAAATTAACTGCAGAAGCCTGTGTGCTGCAAGACCAGAAAACAGCAGTCGTAAGATCGAATCCACGCGATGGAGTGAGCTCCTGTCGCTTGTCCCAGCTCTTGCCAAGCTAGCAGTTCGAAAGCATGTAAAAATGCGAGTAGATAAATAGGTAACGACGTTCTGTGTTGTCTTCCGACAAATGCTGGCTCTATGGCTTGGAAATGGGGATGAGCACTGCGCCCTAGAGTCGGACACGACTGGACTAAATGTCAAGGGGAACCTTTACGTTTCAAAAAAAAAGTCAATTCATCATAACAAATAATTAAGGAACTAGAAAACATTAAAATCATGCTTTAAATGGGTATCAGCAATCCGCTGACAGGGAAGGCACCAGAAAGGCCTCTTAGAGGAGGAAGTTCTAGACTCTAGAGCAGAGGTGGGCCACTTGCGGTTCTCCATATGCTAGACTGCAACTCCCATCATCCTTAAGCACAGTCTGTTATTTGCTACGGTTCATGGGAGTTGTACTCATCACTATCAGGCAGGTGGGGCCACCTATCCTAATCTAATACTTAGGCACCAACACAAGCATAGCCCTGCCCTTGAGATATACCAGTTGTGCATCAGGTGGTTCTGGAAAACGGAACAGGGTCTCCCCCTTAAGTCAAGAAGTCAGTGTGACAGCCAGACTGTAAGTAAGGCTGCACAAGCACAGCTTGCAGTTACTGCTTTTGTAAGATGCCCCTTTTTCTTCCAAAATATTTTCATAAATTATACTAAAATAAGACAATTACTACTGTGATAAACATATTTCTCTTCTGCTTCCTGAGCAGGTTTCTCTGTAGCAGCCTTCTCTGTTCTGGGGCCAGAATGTTTACTCTTCTGATGACAGATAACCATTAGAGATGGGGACTTCATATTCATATATGAATATGAAGCCCCCCCCGGGCAAAGATGGCTGACCTGATTATTTCTCTACCCCAGACCCCGCCAGTCCACTTACTCCCGCCAGCACACACAGCACAAGTGGCCAGCATTATCTTCTGCACCCCTATCACATCAGTAACTTGGCTTCTGCAGTCCCGCCTCCCTGCTCACACAGCCACTCTGAGGCTTAGTAGGGAAACTCATCCTCCTCCCCCTTTGCCGGAGTGGCTGGGTGAGTAGGGAAGCGGGGCTGTGGCATCTGAGCTACTGCTGTCACTGGGCAAAGGAGATGATACCAGCCACACATGCTTGTGTGGCGATTGGCCCAGGGGGGGTCTGGAGGTAATCAGGCCGGCCACCTGTGCTGTGGGGAGCTTGGTATTCGTATGAAGCCCCCATCTCTAATAACAATGTGTGTATGCACTTCTGTACATCTGCATGCTCTCATTTGAGAATTAATAATTAGGAGGAAAAAAGGCCATTCAGCTGTGCGCTATGCCGTAGGATTTGCTATTTTCTTTTAACCTTTTAATGCAAAGTTTGAAATTCTGTGTATTGAATATCAGAATGTAGTGCCCGCTGTCATGTTAGTATTTTTAAGGAAGTACTGAAACACAGTTCTGCATTTCCACTTAGTTCCAAAATATTTAAAGACAGACTCACCTGAAATACAAACATGTGTCTTCCAGCAGGAACAGGGCCTACCAGAACTGAATCTAAAACTTGATCATATTCTTCACTTTCTGCTGAGCCAACGTAGATAATTTTCCATTCTAGATCTACATTAGAAGAAGAAAAAAATTAAGCAAATAACACTTTTAGAGTAACCCCCCTAACTAACACTCCCTTTTCAACAGACCTGTCACCATACTGTAGTTTAAATTAGAAATAAAATTAACAAGTCTGTGACTTAGCCATGAAAAAAAAACTATTGAAAATCAGTAGGACTTAACTGAGAATCACTGGATTTAAGTTCTGAGGAAGAACAAAACTTGAGTTTTCTCTGTGCTAGTGTTGTTAGAGCTGCTACTTCAGGCAACCATAGCCTTTTGCTTAATTGTTGCTGTATAATTTGGCCGTGTAAGTGCTCCAGTATTTCACCAGGCACCTTGGGGAAGGGATGGGTGTTGTCACAAGTTCTCTGCCTGCCTTCCTCTTGGTAGGAAAAGCTGTTGCTGACCTCACTACCGGCACCAACACACAACCCAGTTCACCGTCGGGTGTGTTGCCTTTGCGGGGGGGGGGCGGCGCGTGTAGCGGGGAGAGTAGACCACACTATGTAGGCAACGAGCAGCACCGGGTCTCCGGAAATGGAAAAGGTGGCATACAAGTCGAATGGAAAAATAAATAAGCTGGGCACGCCTGAAAAAGTCCCCCCCCCCGCTCCCTCTACTTTGAAAGCAACCCGAGGGGCGGCCACAGAAAATCGGCAGATTCTCCTTTAGCGTTTCAATTTATGGGGCAGTTTGCAAAAGACGGATGGGGAACATCCCCCCCCCCGCCCTTCTGTCAACACCTCGCTGGAAAAAGCAACATGGGACGTGGGGGAGCCGCTTGGCTCAGAGATTGCCCCCCCTCCAGCCCCGTTCGCGACCCCCTCCCCGCCC